TCAGTAAGTTTGCTATGAATTTGTTCGTTACTGGCACTCAAAACTTTTAATGCGACTACCATGCTAACATTTATAGTAATCGTTATCATTAGAATTTATAGTTTCATTGTGTGGTCTTTTGTTTGAAGCTGACGGTCCTATTTCAAGTCTAGTTTTCTCATCGTATTAAATTAGAATTCCATGTAATCGAGTATACAGTTTTATTGACTGGCCCTTTTTTCCTCTATTCAAGTGACTCCTTGAATAGGAACGTGGGTTTACAGTACTAAGTAGCTTGTGGGTAGTTTCTCAATACTAAAGTAATTCGCTCCTGCAAGTAATGACTAATTATGAATGATTGCTTAACGTACTTCTTGTTGCTGATTTGGAACATGAGGTGCAAACTTTCTATTGTGTTACACTCATTCATGATAGTTGATTCATCTTCAGTTATTTCACACAAAGCATTCCTTAATAAAACGTCGATATAAGACTTTATTCCAGTTCATATATTTGAGTACTGAAAAAGTAAGTGTTATAACGCTCAGTTTTCCCATCTACATAAATAGGACGTTCATTTACCTTTGAGGAATATCTACGCTGGATACCCTCTCAGTGTCTATTCTACAGTACTATAGCATAACTCAGATCAAGAACACGTGACTAGCCTGACTAGAACGTAGGTATATTTCCTCACCAAAATCCGACATCAATCCCATAAAAATAAGGGTAAGAGAATATATATAACCCATCTAATAAATGTCAGACGATCTACTAGTTTGACCAAGCAAAGAATAAATCATTATTTTCCTCGTCCACACATCCTAAGTTAGTAACATGGTTACATAAATTGATTCATAAAGTATGCATTCGCTAATTTGTACTCCACTTCTTAGTAATCATCATTTCGGAGTGGTAGCTCATTTGCCAAATCTTCAATGCTTCTCATACTTCTTCTACATGAGTATTTGTTTTCATAGAATGGGTTATGAATTTCTGAATCTCAAAGGGAATACGACGCAGATGATCTGTAATATGAGTCACTGGTTTCTATTTATAGACTCACATTACTGTACACACGCTACTAAAATTTTATATCTGTAAGGTTATCTGGAATCTTACAGCTTATTGTTCTGACTACTCATTACATTACCATTTTAAAATATAGGTAACTTACGTAAATCCGACAACGTAATTGCGACTAACGTTAAAATTCTGATTGCAATAACCACCTTGTTGGATTTGATTGGATATATTACTTTAGTGGGGCCCATTTCGTCGTCAATATTTATAGTCACACAAAAATAAGTTACAGACATGTGATGAATGGAATAAGAAATGTACACACACGCTCATATAAAAACAGTCAAGGTTGATAAGCGAATATTTAACAAGGTCAAAATATGACAACTAGAATGGATGGATTGGGCTGTCCGAAACCTAGAATAAGATATATGAGCTTAACATGTCAACCGACACTACATTGCCATCAAACCTAAAGTTCTCTCGGAAAACTGCTATTAAACGTCTATAATAATGCCGAATGGGTTGAACGTAAGCATCATTGAATATAGATGATAAATAATTGCTATTGACTTGTTTGTGCCGAACAGGCAGTCTTGGTGAGTTGGTGAAGTATGGAGATAGAAGTAGGCAGTCACCGCAAATTGTTTACTGATGAACGCTTATGTGCTCTCAAGAGTACGTACGAAATTTCGGTTTCTTTTATTTATATGGAAATAAATGTACTAATATATTTACAATGTAGTAGCGAATTACTCGGAGCAGTGTAACTGAGATTCGAATTTACTTCACACGGTGTACCATTCATTAGTTATGTTCCAACTTCCTGCTGACTCTGATTTACTTGTGCACTCAGTCGATACTTCCAAGTTTTCAAGCTTGATGGGTGTGGAGCCAAACGGTGAAGTTAACGAGGCGAGATGCATTCGACTATGCGACATTTGTTTCTGCGTATTTTTATCACTCCACACATATGTATTAGTGAATGCATTTGATTATAAAATCTGTTATCTTAGTTACAAAGTTAATAGACCGTGGAATGTATTGATTATCAAGACTAGATAAAGTTGTATTACACTGATAGGTTTTGACAAATTTGAGTTTACTAATTCTTTTGATATTGCATACACTTGACCCTCATTCCGGACGTAAAAAAAATGTAAAAGTATTGTAGACGAGTGGGGAAATTCCATTAGAGTTTACTGTATATACTAAAACTGTGATTGGAATACTATATAAGTTTCTCTAATCAGCCCATATCAAATGTGTTCAAGTTTTCCTACATCTAAAGAGATGAAGTTATATTGACTGAATGTCAACCCACTGTCTACTTCTAATTCCATAAGAATTGGTATCTCATTAAGCTGAGAAATGTAATTCCATTTATTTTTGTTGGATTTTCATCTGAATTATATGACGACGTATGGATTTGTCAGAAGCAAGGAGGTTCTAAGATATATTTGATAGGTTATCAATATATCGAGAAGCGACTGATTTAAACTGACTAATGGTTGCAGGAGATGTTGAGCACGGTGTTCTCACTCATGATCTGATGCGAATGCATGAACGATCTATGTCGGTTAGGTGAGTCCATTAAAACTAGTATGATCAGCATCAAATGTCGAAGACTTACAGAGTTATTGATTTTGGAAATTTATGACATCATTTTCTACAGTTAATCGATGCTTGAAAACATTTGACTATTTTTGATAACAATTTATTAAACAACTTCATATTCCCTTTTTTAATTATAGACTACCATACGTCAAATAAATTACAGATATGATTGTACAGGTTAAATGAATGATTTTGTCAAATGGAGAATTTTCTTCATTGAACCTTATTCGTTTTCCTTAATAAATGAAACTGTTGATCAATTGAGTGATGCAACATAAGATTAGTTACGTTGATGGTGATAAATTCATTCGTTACTTATTCGAGACATTGAATCTCTTGATTTCTTTCTGACTGTTGATGATTTAATCACTTTCATTTCAATCATTTGCTTTTCTTAGCTATACTGGTATGAAATGTGGTTGTCGGAATATTTTTTGATTGAAATCATGAGTAAATTGAAGCTAGACAACCATGGAAAACCTGGAAGCGCTGGACGGCCGTTTCGTCCTAGTATGGGACTTCTCAGCAGTGCGCATCCACGATCCCGCATGCCGCAAGATTCGAACCCAGGACATATCAGTCCTGCTCCAGGCGCTTAAACCACTAGACCACTGAGCCGGCATCCAATGGTGTTAATGTCTAACCTCAACCAACTCACGAATTTTCCCATATCTGTATCAGATTTTATATCATTTGTTCTGATGGGGATAATTATATTAAATTAAGAAATAATCTTTTTCCATAATTTAGAATTTATATTACGAATATTTGAGATATTCATTGTTTTTTTTTAGTAGTTGATATCATGAGTCATTTGAAACTAGAGCACCATGAAAAACCTGGAAGCACTGAACGGCTGTTTGATCCTATTTTGGGACTCCTCACCAATGCGCAGTGTGTCGCTTAATTTCGTGAATTAGTTGAAGTTAGACATTAACACTAATGGATGCCGGCTCAGTGACCTAGACGTTAAGCGCTCACACGTGAGACTGATAGGTCCTGAGTTCGAATCTCGCGAGGAGGGATCAAGGATCTACAGTAATGAGGAGTCACACAATAGGATGTAAAAGCCATCCAGTGCTTCCAGATTTTCCATGGTGGTGTAGCTTCAATTGACTCATGATCTCAACTACTAAAATTACTATAATATCCACAAAAACCCTTCTGACATTCACTGTTGTTAAACAGTTATAGATATAGGGATAAATTGACAATATCCTTCATTATCACACATGCTAATTTTTCATCCAATAGTGCTTGTATATTAGTACTAGCAATTTAACTGTATCCAATACTAAGTAGCTGTTTCTGTTCTTAAAAAGAAATGAAACAGACGTTTATCTAACCTGAAACTCAACATTTCCCAACTGATTACTTTTACAATTAGATATTTCTTTTTTTGTGAGTCATTCATTGCACCTTGCCGTGTTAATTTACGACACTTAGCTCAGCTAACTCCATATTTCCAGTTTACAAGTTAAATGTTATTTTTTTATTATTAAGATCATGAACCGATTAATGTTAGACCATTATTGAAAACCTGAAAGCACTATACGACCATTTCGCCCTATTGTTGGACTCTTCAAAATTGCGTATCCACGATCCCGCCTCGCGACATTCGAACCCAGAATCTATCGGTATTACGCGTGAAACGGCCGACATTAAACAATGTCAATATTTAACCTCAACCAATCCGCGAGATTGCGTAGCCATCCATGATTGTACTGAAATAGATACCTATCTCTCACAACTGATTGATTACTGGGTGGTGATCAATGTCATGTGTGTCAAGTCCTCATTTAATGCACATCGAATGCTATCGATCATGTTGCAATGTGGCCGCTAGTCTAGGTGACTCGACACTGAGTGCAATATATATTGAGATTAGATGGTGGCTGAAGCTAGTTAACAGGAAACCCTGGATCCGGGTTTCGTGCTACTTGTTACTCGTCAGTAAGGTGTACCTACTATCAACCAAGTTGCAGTGTGGCACCAGTTCCCTCAAGATTACAGGTACACCTTGCTGACTAGTGCCAAGTAGTACGAAACCCGGGTTCAGGGTCTCCTGTCGACTACTTCCAACCACCATCTAATCTCAATACCTATCTCTACCCAACACATATTGCCTCCAACACTCTAGATTTCACTTCAAACCAATATCCATCTTTACTTATATAGTCACTTCTCAAATATCCATAAGATCCTATTAACTAAAGAACTAATCTTGAAGTACAGATTTATTTACTTATTCTATATTAGGTGCATAGAATCATCGATTAGTTTCTAAAGGTTAACCAATACTCAGGTAACATTCACAAGGTCATCTATATTGATAATAAATATAAGTGAACTAATATAATTACAACTAAATCATTTACAATATGTTAAATAATGATCTAATCTTACGTATACAAACCATCTATTCTAATCAACCTCATTCTAATGAATTCATTCAATCCTCTTATCTCTTATTGAATGATATAATTCATTATTATAATGTCAATTACTTTTCATTATATACAATTAGTATCTTGGGAAGATTTCTATCTTACATCATACGAACTATTGGAACTATAGATGATATAAATATGAAATGTATTGACACATTACATTACTTAGTTACTAACCAATTGATCTCTATCAAACTCAAAACTACATTAATTCATTTATTAGAATTGGACCTAGCAACTAATTTATTAAATAAACAATCAAATATTAATCAATATACATGGAATTGTCTATGTGATTATATCATAGATTGTAATAATATTGCACCTATTATACGTATTTTAATTTATATTTGTCTAAAGACAATCATAATGAATCCAATTGAATACAAACAATATTTAATAAAATTAAAACATTTTATCACCATGACAACAAAATATCAATTAGATTTTTATGAAATGATAATGATATTCAAACTACTTAATGATAAATCAAAAGGATTCCATGCAAGAATTACATCATTTTGTTTGAATATTATGCAATTATTACATTACAGTATGAATGATTCAGATTATTATAATGCTATGAATTATATTCATTCAGAAATAGATCATGGTGATTTATCACAAGTCAACTTTATCCCAGATCATCATTCAACTATTAGTAACTATGGTAATCTATCCGATGACATATATAATGGTGATTTATCACAAATGAACTTTATCCCAGATCATTATTCAACCATTAGTAACCATGGTAACCAATCTGATGATCCAATTCATTTGAATGATTCTAGTATTACAACACATGGAATCATTTTAATACCAAATTATATTTATTCTTTATTATATTATAAAAATGATTATATAATTCAATTGAAAGGTATCAAAGCATTACAATTATTTACATGGAAAATGTTTTGTCATAGGAATTCATTACAGCATTATTCAAATCTTATATGTTATATTAAGAATATAAGAATATTTTTAACAAATATATTCAATATTATGTATCATCAATCAATCAATATAATAGTACATCTTATTGATATTGTATTGGTAAGTAAGGATACTATATATTTTCTTTTTGAGGGGGTTGGTGGTTTGTACCCCTTGATTCTTTGTTTTCCACCCTGTTGCCAATTGTTATAACGCTCGGTTTTACTTTAATGTTATAACGATTGGTTTTCCATGTTTGGTGATTTATCACAAATTAACTTTATACCAGATCATTATTCAAATATTAGTAACTATGGAGGGGGAGGATGGCGAATATCATTTATGGAAGATTGTTATAACTTGTGGTTTGTATCCTTGGTTCATTGTTTTTCACCTTGTTGTCAATTGTTATAACGGTCAGTTTTACTTCGTCTAATATTATAACGATTGGTTTTCCACGTTTACACGTGGACGATTATCTACACTAGATTTCCTCCCAGTGTCTATTCTACAGAATTTCAACACAACTCAGATCAAGAACACGATGATTAACCTGACCACAACGTAAATATATTTCCACAATAAAACCCAACACAATCCACTAAAAATCAACAATCAATAATAAGTCAGTAGTAATAATTATTATAAGGATAGGGGAACATATAACTCATTTGACACCTGTCAGACGATCTATATGTGTGACTAAGCAGACAACCAATCATTCTCGCCTACACATCAAAGATCTTTGAGTGACGTTAAAATGATCTTGAGAGTGTCTATTCAGTAACTAAGACCAAATGAGGATTATAATTCTTTCTTCTCGTACTATATCGTTACATACAATCATTCTTTTTTTATATTACTGCCATTGAATTAACTACATCTGTGAATTCGGTGTTTATTTTGTTGTGTTAATGAGTGAGATGTGATGAGTTGGACCGATGCATATATGTGCCTGGTCTTACGTTGTAGCTGATTATAAACCAGTGTAAAGAATAAGAATTAGGATTTATTGTTGATGGTTAAGATTAAGAATTAGATGCCAAAACTTTATTTAGTCAAATGGATGAGGGAATTTCGAGCCGAAATCCGAGATCTGTTATAGTATATCGGATTGGTTCATCTATAAATTATAGTCTCGCCCAAATTTTCAATTCAGGTAGTAGATTGGATTCTAATTATTTCAATCTGAATTGATTGGTACTTTGCAGTTGACAAATATTCTAAAATATAACATTGTTAATAACTAACTTCAACCAATCCATGATATTGAGGGATAATCTTCCATTCTTTTCTCTGAGTAACTGCCTGAAACCCGATACGGTCGAGATACACTGGTCACATTAACACCGTTGGATGCCGTTTCAGTGATCTATAGGTTAATCGTTCGCGTATGTGACCGAAAGTACAGGGTTCGAGTCCCACGTGCGGGATTGTCGGACAAAACGGCTGTTCAGTGCTTCTAGGTTCTCAATGATGATCCAATGTCGATTGGTTTGTGATAATGACATGGCTCAAAATCGTTTACAATAGCGCAGGTGCATCCACTCTTTGTGTTCTCCCAAATTCTTATCTTCTGAATTCATCATGTCTCTTATTTTTCCTCTTTCCAAATTTATTTCACTGTATTATACTCCTTGAATAACATCTTCGAACCCTGATCTTTTCGATTACTGCTTATAATTTTACTATTTCTACCACTATGGGATTTGAACTGACAATTGTATCTCTGTGCTAACGTGATATGGTAACTCGAACTGATGTACGTACGTACGAAGTTCTACGTTGTTGACTGACAGGTTCGTGATCTTAATTAAAACTCAACAATCTCCACAACCCCATACTGATGTAACTTATGGTTGGGATAGCAAACATGAACTGAGAGAATATAAAAGGTTAGATAATCATAATTATAGTAATTCCTTTTTTTCATTAGTGATCAGCCTAAAAGAAGCTTCAGCTTGAAATACGTAATTCGTATCTTCTTCTCAAGAAATTCTCTTTATTGCTGGTGTTACGAGTAAACAACTTATCCTTTTCAGTTGATGAACCTTTCTATGGATGAGTGGATTGGACCTTGAGTCTATAACTTGTTCTGGTACATCTTGGAATAGAACAAATTCTCATAGTAGATCAATTATGTATCATTTTTCTCATGCTTATTAATGTGAAAACTTGAATTAATAAGAAGTGTAAGAAGGAGAAAGTTATTTTGAATTCGATCTACCTTTGTCAGTATTCCACTACAGTAAAATACTCAAGCATCTTTGACTAATTTGCGTGCGAACGCTTAACTTTGCAACACAGAAGGTCCTGGGTTTGAAGTCCGCTATCGGGATCGTGAGTGCACACTGCCGAGGAGTCGCATATAAGGACGAAACAGCCATCCAGTACTTCCAGGTTTTCAATGTTGTTCTAGCACCAATTGATGGATGAGCTCAATCAAAATACTTAACAATCTGCACAACCCTGTACTGATGAATACTTAATTATACCATTAACTTTTGTTATAAATTTAAAGTTGGAATATGAGGAGACTTTTAAAAATAAGAAGCTGTAATTGACACTTTAATTAGTGACTATCACTAGGAAATCTATATGCTTATGAATGTCGTTAGGGATTCCTGGCATATACAGGTCTGAACAAACACCTCACGATATAGTGGACAGTATTCCAGACAATGTTGTATAAACTATGAATTACAAACATGATAGAGTAATGATCAAGCTCAATAAACAATTAATACACTATACTTCTGTTAGTAGCTGAAGGATCATACAATCGACACTCATCTACACGTTTTGTGTGAGAACTAATGAAAAGGTCTAACTTCCAAATTGATAAAGGTGGGATGGGATCTGCTTTCATACTATGAATACTTGTCTTATTTTTTTGATCAACCAACTTGTATTCACCCAAGAGTATCCATGTGGCTGGAATGAACAAACATAAACATACTTATATTCACTTAGTGTTGTTTACATGTATCTTCCCATTGTTATTTAGGACTGCGATTGATCAATTTCTTGTTAGAATTTGTGTATCCTATGCGTATTGCCTCGATATTGCCTTAATTTACAAGCATTATAAACAAAGATGGATTTCGTTATATTAGAGACTCGTCAGATGGATGTACCTGCATCTCAGAGTTGATGTTCACTCTGAAACTCAAATCCAGTACCATTCGATTCAAACTTCACCTCATTGCATAAGCAATCGGCTATCAGGACTCAGTAGCTAAGTGGATAACGCGATGACATTTAAAGTGTACGTTACTAAGTTCGTATCCCAGAATGACCATCAACTCTAAGATGTAGATACTTCCTGCTGACGAGTATAAATGGATAACGTGATGACGCTTAAAGCGAACTTTACTGAGTTCGTGTCCCAGATTGATCTTCAACTCTAAGATATAGATGTATCCAGCTGACGAATCCAACAATAGGACGAAACGTGAGTCAAACTGGATTCCACTACTAGTCACTATCCATCTTTTCTGATAAAGTACGTTATATATACATGCTTAGTTACTACGACGTTTTCATCATTATTTCATATATATATATATATATATATATATATATATATATATATATATATATATATATATATATATATGCATTACTCTCTTCTTCTTCTTTATAGATGCTATTACATCATTTACCCAATTATGTAATCCAGTCAATTATCAAAGAAATATTCCAATTATTTAAACCTATTTTAATAAATAATTTAAAGACAATGTATCATGTAATTCATCGAATCTTATTACAATTATTAACATATTTTAAAGCTGATATTATATTAGATGAATTATGGTTATATTATAAGAATAATCATAATACAAATTTCCGTATACGTACCAATACATTATATTGTATGACATTTCTATTATGTAATAAAATGGAACAAAATATTGATCTAATGAAAATGATTAAACGAATTGTACAATGTTTCAAAGATAAAAGTGGTGTGGTAAGTGAATTGGTTTTCTTTACTTATATAGGTATGCACAAGTAAGTGGCTATCAGGACTCAGTAGCTGAGTGGATAACGCGAATGGTACTACTGGATTCGAGTCCAAGAGTCACAATTGATTTATCACTGGGTGATTATCAATGTCATGCTTGTCTAGTCCTTATTAGTGCAGATCGAATGCTATCGATCATGTTTCAATGTGGCCAACAGTCTAGGTGACTCGACACTGCGGGCATTGCACTAATAAGGACTAGACAAGCATGACATTGATCACCACCCAGTGATCAATCAATTGTGATTACATCTCAGTCCTACAGGAGGTTAGTCACGACTCGGATAGCTCAGTGGTAACGTCTCTGATTGTGAAGCTGGGTGACACGAGATCAAATCCGTCAGGGAGCACCAGTTCCCTCAAGATTACAGGTACACCTTGCTGACGAGTGCCAAGTAGCATGAAACCCGGGTCCAGGGTTTCCTGTTAACTACCTCCAACCACTATCTAAGTCCAAGAGTGAACATCAACTCTCTGAGATGCATGTACATCCAGCTGACGAGTCACAAATAGGACTCAGTAGCTGAGTGGATAACGCGGTGGCGTTTGAAGCGAATGGTACTACTGAGTTCGAGTCTCAGAGTGAACATCAACTCTGTGAGATATAGATACATCTAGCTGACGAGTCTCAAATAGGATGAAACGCGTGTTGTCCTGGATTCCTCTGCTAGCCACTATCCATCATTGCTTACAAAAAGCTTGCATACTTGGTCTGTTTTTTTATATGGTTATATATGAATTTAGACCAATCACATTTTGTGATACATGCACTTCAACTACTCTGTGTATATATGACCCTAAATGAGTTGGTAAGACCGAAGGTGGGGATAGTCAGATCTCCTTTGTCGAAATGCTTCCATGAGATTCTCGAAGCATGATTGTTGTATACGAAATTGAGAGGATGAAGAGCGAATATTGGACACTGTAATCAGGTTGATGGATGGAGTTGGAAAACTCTGATTCCAAACCAGTAGGGAACATGGGCTTCAGAATCCTGAACGAACAAATTGTTGGGGTGACCCAGAAAATTTCTTGCAAAAGACAAGCAAGCATCAGGAAAACACTAAGAAGCGCTTCCTCCAATCAGCGTTCACTTGAAGTATTAGCCAGAAATATCAAGGGGGAGAAACGTCACATGCAGAGGTTTTGATTGGCTGATTGTACACTGCTACTATGTTTATTAGCATTCCAGAATCTTCTAGCAAACCCTGTATTTTCTGTATTGAATTGAACCTTGGAGTAAAGTGCTTCTCGCATACTTTGTGTCTTCTCTCTCCTTGTTCAGGTCGCTGTATAGTTCTAGCTTGGGGGTTACAGAATAGCTTAGGAAACGAATATAGCGTTCAATTCGCAAGACTTATCACAAATGGCGTATGAAACAGTAGTTGGTGACCGGCTACCATGGGACTATATTTCTTGACGTTGCTTCATTGCTTGGCGGATTAGACTTTTAGGTGAAAGGCTCCCAGAGTGGTTCAATAGGCAAACCAACTATTTCGGTCTGAACCCACTTATAAATCAAGTGACTTGTGTGGCGCATGTGTATTCGGTGTCCCTTTGTACCAATATTTATGTGTTCAAATAAATAAATAACTTTTTGTATTCAGATAGTTTTTTTAGTAAGGTTTTTTTCTACGGGATCGGGTTGCCGACCACTTGCCCAACCCTCCTACTTTACCAGAACTTGGGACTGGCAATAGCTCAACATACCTCTTCGGTAAACAACGCTACTAATGACGACAACTAAAAAAAGCATAAAAGTGAGACTTCGTAGAGAAGTTTCGATCATCTGGATTTTCTAGTGTTTATTTGCTTAACGGATTTCGATTCTCATCCAATATATCTACGATAAGTTCGACTAATCCTATTAGTGATAGTTGTTAATATTGATAGAATATTCTCGTTGAAATCGTATTGAGATTTCTTTATCCATTCCATAATTTCGGTGGTTCCTACCATTATAATCATCAATTTCTAATTTTTATGTTAATATGGGAGAACTGACATAATTTGTTACAATATTTAGATTACCACCAATAATATTGTAATATTAAATTATATTCACCGTGTACGTCTGATTGACGAACCCGAATGTCCTGGAACGACCGAGAGTGGGGAGAGTCCGCTCTCCTTTTCAAAAGGCTCTCACATGACCACGTGCATATATATATATATATATATATATATATATATATATATATATATATATATATATATATATATATATATATATATATATATATATAGAACCAGATCAATCGACAGTTACCACCCATTTGAGAAATTCATACTGAAGTCGTTTCCATTAGGTTAATGCTAACTCTTATTAATATGATTAGCTTTATTCGATATTATATTTTCGGTAGAAGATAGAATTATCAGCGCAACGTATTTCAACAAGTTTCTCATTTCATACTTCTTGGTTGATCCTGGCGATAAATAGTTAGTAGTTAGTAGTCCAGTCAATCGACCTGTCAATCATGTTCATTCTTTTCAATTCATATTGTCAGCAATCACGATGTCTCCGATTGTACATTTGTGTAACTTGTACCGAAAAAGGTCGTATACATTTCACAAGCGCACCTGAATAGTTTATGCAATTCATTGACATAATGATCTGTTAAAACAAAAAACAAACAGATAACTTGTTGAAATATTTAGGTGGCAGGAACGGGTAGCGCAGATATTCAAACAGGCCACCTAAAAACCTGGGTCAATTTCAAAGTAATAATCAAGAAATTAATACAAAACAGTTTTATATCCTCTCTATTGTGCCTTCGAATCCGGATAGTTATCACGTGATTTATTCGTCAATCAAAAAACGACTTATTGAATCTTAGAATTGTGCTAAACCAATGACGTTCGATCAGCATGAGCAGCCTAGCGTCCTCATTGAGTCCTTTGTTCGCCTAGCCTATCTAATTGAGTCCGAAGCACCAACAACAGCCTCAATTAAGCGAATCATTTATTTCAAACATACTCGGTTTATATACCAACCAAACAGACCATATCACACCATAAAATAGTAAACAGCATTTATACAAGATCAAGCCACAATGTAACTGTGAACGTGGGAGACTGTAATCAATAAACTGAACAAAACCTAAGAACAGTAAACAAAGATAGATAGTGGCTAGCAGATTAATCCAAAACGCGAGGTTCGTCCTATTTTCGACTCGTCAGATGGATGTACCTACATCTCAGATGTGATGTTTACTCCGGGATTCAAACTCAGTACCATTCGCTTCAAGCGCCATCGTGTTATCTACCTAGCTACTGAGTCCTAATAGCCACCTGCTTGTTCAATTGGGTGACATTTGAATCGAATGGTACTGGGTTCGAATCACGGAGTAAACATCACATCTGAGATATAGGTACATCCATCTGACAAATCCCTAATAGAACGAAATACGCATCCTGGATTTCAATACTAACCATTACCCATCTTTGCTTATAAAGCTTGTGACTTAAGACAATATTGAGGTAATCCACACAGGATACACATATTCTAACAAGAGACTGACCGACTGCATTCCTAAATAACAATGAGAAGATACAAGTGAACAACACCAAGTGAATTAAGAACCGTGAATCGTATAATCATAATCTATAGGTCAAAATGAAGCTTATAATAAGAGGAATACAGATATACATAATTTAGTTGCTGAATTGTTATGCAATAGGAATATATATACTAAAGCATTAACAGTTCTCTGAATGTACTCGTAGTATAATCTTCACAAACGCTACAACACCCCCCTCCATGTAACCAGATGATGTTTTTTTCTAACCTTCCAAAAAGATTTTTTAAAAAAAAACTACATAGCAACACATTTTTGTTTTAATATTGAAAAATCAATTTACATTTTTTTCTATTTCTATTGTAGGTTCAATCAGCAGCAGCTAAATGTTGTGCAACTCTTATTAATATAAATAATAATAAATCAATATTATCGATTATCGAAAATTTATTACTTAATGAAATGTCTATTATGGAAGTAAATTTTTTATTAGAAAAAATAAAAAAATTTATCAAATTAAAAAATTATAATGATGATGATGATGATTTAGTTGCTATGGTGAATTATGAAAATGATTTCAAACAAAATTGTATGTATTAAAGTATGTTTTTTTGGTGTTGTTGTTGTGATTGTGTTTCATCCGTACAAGAAATAATTGTTTTCATCAAAAAGATTCCTTTTAAGTTAATTCATTTTGTACTGTGTGTTTGTTTGAATCTTTTTATGTCCGGCGCTTTAACCGGATTCCAAAACAATGGTGCACATGGGCTCCAGGATCCTGAGGGATTAAGTGGAGTATGAACCAATCGTTGGTCACCGGCTACCATGGGACTGCATCTCCTCACGATGCTCCATTGCCTTGTGGGCCAGACCTTTAAGTCCAAGGCTCGGGGAGTGTTGTGGATGCGCAGGAATAGACCAATAATTATCATGTTAAGTTCAATGGTGTCCTTGGACTTTAAATGGACATTTCCTATTGGTCGATATCTGTTCACTTGTTGAATATTGTACAAAATGTTTTCTATTTTTATGGTACGCTGTGGTATGCTTGACTAGTATATAAACAAAGTATGTTTGAAATATAGTGATTCATATCTCAGAGGGTTGTGACTTGTGTTCTGGACTCAACTAACTGGGCTAGACAGGGAAGCGAGACCAATAGAGACTCTAGGCCGTCCGTACGTGTTTACGTGTCATTGTAATCGATCGATAACACAGGATAAAAATCGACCCACAACTTAAATTCATAACAGGGAGTGGCTCCCTAAGAAAACCACCCGCTTTGGTCTGGGCACCCGGGCAGTATCCCAGCCCTCACACAAACCGAATGATTTATGTGGTGCATATCTATTTGGTGCCTCCTTGTACCAATGTTTATGTGATTAAATAAATAAATAAATAAATAGACATCATTGATTATTAGCCACTATTGATCTTTGCTTTAGAATACTTGTGAATTAAAGCTATCTGGAGGCAATAAACACAATATGCCAATATGCCAGTAAGAGACTGATCAATTACAGTTGTAAACATCAATCAAAAGATTCAAATAAACAATACCAAGTGAATTTAATCTTCACATTATTGCACAAGCAAGTGGCTATCAGGAATCAATAGCTAAGTGGATAATGTGATGGTATTTGAAGTGAATGGTACCGGGTTTCAATCCCGGAGTAAACATCAAATCTGACGAGTTCCAGATAAGACGAAACGCGCGTCAAACTGGATTCCATTGCTAGCCACTCTCTATCTTTGCTTTTGATCTCACTAATTAATTAAAGATGAAAATGTGAGGGAAAGTTGAAGATGATGAATATTTGTACTATGAGTTGAATGGCTTAGTTTTTATTGTTCTTTTGAATGATATCATCAGCGCAAACTTCTAGCTGAGCTATAAATCTTCTCCCTCATCTCAATTCCATTTTTATATATTCAGTTGAACACATAAATATCGGTACAAACGGGCACCCAATAAATATGCGCTACACAAGTCACTTGATTTGTGTGTGGGTTGGGATACTTTACGAGTGTCCAGATCGAAGCATGTGGTTTTCGTAGAGGGTCGGACCCCCAGCTTCCGACCTAAAGGTTCGATCCATCGGGATGTGGAGCAACGTCAGGAGATGCGGTCCTATAATAACCGGTGACAACGATTAGTTCGTGTACCATTTTTTCCTTCAGAATACTGGAGCTCATGTGCACCATTGATTTTGAATGTGGGTTTTCCAACTCCCCAATATGGATCCTCCATATCCACCAACCTGACTAAAGCGACGTACATTCGCTTTTAGTTCTCTGAATTTCGTAAACAACAGTAAAGCTGTGAAAAGACAGTGAGTAGGACTTCCATGGCAGAGGCTATATACGCGTGGCCATGTGAGAGCATTTCGACAGGAAGAGCGGACTCTCTCTACTTTCGGCCATACCAGGGCATTTGGGGGCAAATGTTGTTTCCGCTAGCTACATTTAATGGCTACAAAACTGTTTATTTTTATGCACATAATTCCCTTTTATCATTTTGAAAAGAGGAAGAACAAAGATTCTGACAGAATAGCTAAAATTCATTTTATTTCGTCTGCATTTCATCAGTTGCTTACAACCTGTAATATTTAAAAATCGTAATTACATAATGAGTTCAAATTACTTACATGAATGTGTTCGGTTGGAAGTTATGATCAGAATACATCATTATAGTATAGCAATAGTGTAAATAAATGTGATAGGCTGAATAGTATAAATATATATACCTTGTGTAAAAGAACATTCTACAACATTTATTGTGACAACAGTTCAAACGGTCAGAAACAAGTCATTACATAATGATTAAGATTACTAATTGCGAAGATAGTTGAAATAAAACTCAATGATTTAATAAATGTAAGAAGGAGTTAAAAAAGGGTTTAAGATACAAAGAAGGAATATTTGTCACCAAGTCAAGGAATGACTAATATCCATCTCCTTTTGAACATATATATCAGTTCACTTGGTATTGTTTGGCTTGTATCTTCCCATTGAGGTATAAGACTGCAATTGATCAGTCTGTCTGAGACTCGAACCCCGTACTATTAGCTTCAAACGCCAGAGTGAACATCAACTCTCTGAGATGCAGGTACATCCAGCTGACGAGTCCAAATAGGACGAAACGCGCGTCAAACTAGATTCAACTGCTAGCCACTATCCATCATTGCTTACATATATCAGTTTCTTGACACCTGATAACAACGGCTTCAACAAACTTTAGAAGACTGGAGTTTATCTGCCTACTAATCACCTTGAAAAATTGCAAGTTATCGACTTGATGTCCTGTATCGTGGAGATGTTTGATAACTGCACTGTTTAGAGTGTGAAAGAATATTCTACAACAGTTCAAACGGCTAGAAACAAATGATTACATAATAAGTAAACATTGATAGGAATATAAAATGAGTTTTTGAGCTCAATTAATAAAATAAGAGTCATTGTCATACATAATAAAACTCTACAGATTACCAGCATAGGATTGTGGAGATTATTAAGTTTCTAATTGAGATCATGAACTGATTAATGTTAGACCACCATTGAAAACCTGGAAGCACTGAACAGCCATTTCGTCCTATTTCGAAATTTCTTAGCAGTGTGCATCTCAGTAGTCCCAGAATAGGACGAAAGAGCCATCCAATGCTTTCAGGTTTTCAATTGTGGTTTAACATCAATCGATTTATGATCACAATCTATAGATTATATAAAATTTATTATTTCACAAAGTACGCACTTTATTTTCCAGATAATAGAGGAATTCATCATTTGGATTATAGAAGTGATACTATTGATAAATCCATTCGTCGAAATACTTCAGAAAGACTTAATATGCCAAGCAATCATTTAGATTTAAATAAAATGAATCATTTAATAAATGGATCATACTTTCAAATGTCTGAACATCGTAAACGTTTGAAATCAAGTAAATCATATAATCAAAAGTCAACTCGAAGATATATTGATAAAATGACACTTCATGATTATTCTGTACAGACTCAAAGTCACATAGATCACAGAAAACATGTCAAAGATCATCCAAACACAAAAGAGATTTATGATGAACCAATAACTAATAATGTAATGTCAGACCTTCAAAATACACTAACCGGAGAAGAAATAAATTGTCCAGTTGATTGGTACAATCAGAGCACTGAATATCAGGTATGTTCAATCGTCATTATATGATTTCGAACTATACTCCCTTAAATAAACTTAAAAAGCATGACTTACCTACTTACGCCTGTTACTCCTAATGGAGTGTAGGCTGCCAACCAGCATTCTCCAACCCACTCTGTCCTGGACCTTTTTTTCTAGTTCTATCCAATTGTTATTCATTCTTATCATATCTGTCTAAGTTTCTCAGTGTAATGTGTTCTTTGGTTTTCCTCTTTCCCTCTGGCCATGAGGGTTCCAAGTGAAGGCTTACCTTGTTACACAGTTGGGTGCTTTCCTCAATATGTGTCCAATCCACTTCCAGCGCTTCGTCCTGATTTCTTCCTCCGCTGAGATCTGGTTTGTTCTTTCCCACAGTAGGTTGTTGCTGATAGTGTTTGGCCAACGGATTCGAAGTATTTTCCGTAGACAGCTATTATTAAACACATAGAATCCTCAGCAGTGTGCATCCACGACCTCACTTCGCGAGATTCGAACCCAGGACCTTTTGGTCTCGCACATGAGCGCTCAACCATAAATATTGGTACAAAGGTGCACCGAATGCATATGCGTCATACAAGTCACTTGATTTATGTGCAGGTTGTGATACTGCCCGGGTGCCCAGACCGAAGCAGGTGACTTTCTTAGGAGACCACACCTAGAGCCTTTGACCTGAAGGTCTAATCCACAAGACAATGGAGTAACGAAAGGAGATGCAGATCCATAGTAGCCGATCACCAACAGTTGATTCACACACCAATCATTCCTTCAGCGCCGTATACTGGTTTTTCGTACTCTCAATTTCGTAAACAACAATAATACGGCTAGCATGCCTTGAGTAGGACTTGTATAGCAGTGGCTGTCTAAGCGTGATCATGCGGGAGGATTTCGAGAGGCAGAGCTGTCTCTCCCTATCCTTGGCCGTGCCAGTGCATTATTTCAGTCTAATAATCACCCACTAAACTTTCAAATATACTACATCTTTTGAAGATAAGCATTAAGTTAACGTAGACATCCATGATAAATCTGTTTCAATAAATATATATATATTTTCTATTTCAGATAAATCGAGGTCTTGAGAGTTTACGTAATTCTGTATCTAGACGACGTAAACAATGGTTATTTAATCAAATGGCTAAAATGAACACTAAAAAATTGTCAGAGAGTAATCATGAGTAAGTGTTTGGAAGATGAAATGCTTCCTCTACAGTGAATGATTCTTTACTGTTATAATTTGAATTGATGATTCAATTGAATGTATAAATGAAATAATAGGATGAAAACAATTGATGAAACATTATTACAGAGCATTATTGTGATTGTTCAATTGAAGTTATATATCATGGACTGATCTTCACCAAACAACCATCGAAAACTAAGATCTTGATTTGTAGGCAAGGAAGATAATGATTTATTATTTGCTTATTCAAACTAGTAGATAGTCTGACATGTATTAGATGAGTTCTATATATTCTCGTAACCTTATTATTATAGGATTGTTGTCGGTTTTTGATGTGGAAATATACCTATGTTCTAGTAAGGCTAGTCACGTGTTCTAGATTTAAGTTATGTTGATGCACTCTAGAATAGATACTGAAAAGGTATCTAGCGTAGATATTCGTTAAAGGTAAATTAAAGGTTAAATTCGGCCCCCAAATGCCCTGGTACGATCGAGAGTGGGAAGAGTCAGCTCTCCCTTCCGAAATACTCGCACATGGCCACGTGCATACCACCACTGTCAGGGAACTCCTACTCACTGCTCTCTCGTGGCATTACTGCTGTTTACGAAATTGAGATGACGAAAATCGAATGTCCTGCGCTTTAACAGGGTTGGTGGGTATGGGGGATCCACATAGAGGAGTTGGAAAACCCTCATTCCAAATCAGTGGTGTACATGGGCTCCAGTATCCTGAAGTAATAAATGGTGTATGAAGCGATCGTTGGTGACCGGCTACCATGTGATTTTATCTCCTCACGTTGCTCCACTGCCTCGTGTATTAATTTTTTAGGTCAAAGGCGCTGGGTGTGGTCATGGGCAGTAACACAGCTCTCATACGAAGCGAATGATTTATGTGGCGCACATCTATTTGGTGCCTTCTTTTACCAATGTATATGTGTTTAAATAAATAACTATTATAACAGGTTTATTAAATAAATATTTTCCTTAGATGGTGGTTGGAGGTAGTCAACAGGAAACCCTGACTTTAAATTCACTTGGTGTTGTTTTGCTTGTATCTTCTCATTGTTATTTAGGACTGTAATTGATCAGTCTCATATTGGCATATGTGCATCCTGTACAGATTGCCTCGATATAGCCTTAAGTCACAAACTTTTTAAGCCACCTGTACAAGGTGGTAGCTATTAGGATTCAGTGGCTATGTTGATAACCTGGCGGCGTTCGAAGCGATCGGTACTGTGTTCGATTCCCAAAGTAAACATCAACTCTGAGGTGCATGTACATCCAGCTGACGAGTCCCAAACAGGACGAAACGCGTGTCCTGGATTCAACTGCTAACCACTATCCATCTTTGCTTATTTATAACATTTTTCTTCATTTTACTGATTATCCCAACACGGAGTAAGTTTATTATGTTTGTATTGCTGAAGTAAACTGTCTACTTAAAAACTGTGGTTAGTGAAATGAAACACAGTATAATTTATAAAACGGACGAACCATTAAGGTTTAAGATAACAGATTTTGAATTTTAGCGCGAAATTCATCCACTTATTTGGCAATATATCATTTCAACATCATAGCTGATACCAGGTCGTGATGAAAACACAAAATCTAGTCCCTAACCCTAGTCATCAACTACAAATCATAAACCTTAATCTTCACAGTGCTTTATAACTCTTGGTCAGTTCTGGTTCGTAGGTGGACATTTTCACGGTCATTTCAGCGTTGCTCTAAGGTCATCCATTCATTGGAATTACATAGAAAGTTATTGAAAGCAATAACGTACTAGATGGACATGAAAACCTAAAATGTTCAGGACTTAAGATATACATTGTGTCGTTCTTCTGATTCATTATAATTCAAATGTGTCATAATGATCCCACAGTCTTTCATGACCCGAAAAGTTAGTCAAGTGAAATTTATCGATCATTAGATTCACAGTTATATAATATAATATCCCTTTGTGGGTCAAGGTAATTTTACATTGGTTTTCAGGTGAACCGTACACCATTCAGACTTTCACATGACAATCCAAATAGTACAGATCAATACCGTTTAACAGGAGAAGCCAGACATCGCTTAGGCTTAATCAGAGCAGTACGGCTCAATCCCACTTGTAGGAAAGCCAGATACCACCTAGGCCTAAATTTGTAACCCAAGCAACACAGCTCAATCGTGTGGCGCAATCACACAGGTACCAAGCACCCTGATGGACCATTCTTATCATTCATCTACACATTCACATCATATGTATAATTATTATGATCGTTATATTCCGACTTGCAAAATATTTGATATTCTCCCGTGTTTGTTTCCCTCCCTTGCTGACCCCCCCCCAAATCTTCAAAGCAATTTATTTCAAATGAAACCATTGAATATAGAAAATCAAGATTTTCCATTATGCTTAAATTCCGATGGATGGACTAGTCAAGATAATGGTGATTATCTAATAACATCCAATAATGAAAAACATTTATTACCAACATATGAATATTGTGAGAATTTATCAAATCAATGGAGAACTAATACTCCATGTTCATTAAGTAAGTTAATTCTAAATAAGAAATCTAATCTAAGTTTCTTTGATCGTCTTCATCAAAAGTTTTCAGAAGAAACGAATAGTATAAAAATTGGTACACTTCAGTCTTCAAAGGGGACTGATACTATCAGTGAGCTTAGAATTTGGTTCCTTCAGCTTCATAGTCCTGAAAATTACCAGTTAGCTATTTGGCTTGGTATTCTCCTCTTGTAGGTGTAACGTATTTACATTGATTGATCATTAGGTAGTTATTAACATCAGGTTTGTTTAGGTGATGTTATTCTAGTTAGTGTAAATAGTTGAGTTCTCCCTGGGTTAATTTGAATTTGTAAATGTCCATCACATAACATTGGTCCTCTCAAAATTCACGGTACGCTTCTCTGACGTGTACAAACTAGCACATAACCTAGGTCTACAGTATCCTTCCGACTATCTCTAACCACGTTATATTAAAAAAATGGTGGAAACAACGTTGAGTTACTTAGACCAGTGGCCACATGGTAAATTAGCTGACAGAATTCGATCAACATTGAGGAGTAGACAAAAATTACACTAATCACCACTTAGTAATGATTCCATGTGCTTACAAATACAATAGATGAATGCGGAATACTCGTCATATTTGACAAAATAACTTAAAATGTCGTTACTCTGAAGTTTATAAAAGGTCAGATATGGACTAGAATTATTACTTCCCCCGATGTAGTATATTTTCTTTCGTCACATTTCTATCATACCTGATAAGGCAATTAACATCCAACCAGATGCCTTAGTATGACCGAGGGTGAGGAGTGCCAGCTAACCCTTTCGAAAGGCTTTCACGTGTTCATGCACATACAGTCACTGTCAGGAAAGCCCTACACACCGCCATCTCACCGCATTACTGTTCTTTACGAAATTCAGAGGACAAAAAGAGAATGTACGGCGCGTTAACCGGGTTGGTGGATATAGAGGATCCATTTTGAGGAGTTGGAAAACCCTCATTTCAAATCATTGGTGCACATAGGCTCGAGAATTCTGAGGGAACAAACGACGTATGAATGAACTATTGGCAACCGGCTACTATGGGAGTGCATCTCCTGACGTCGCTTCACTGCATTGTGGATCGGATCTTTCAGTCGAAGGCTCCGGATGTGACTCCCTAATACAACTACCTACTTCGGTCTGAGCGCCCGGGTAGTATCACAGCCCACATATAAATCAGTTGACTTGTGTGACGCATATGTTTTTACTGATCATCAAATTAAAGATTTCGATATAAATCTATTTCTCAATGAAGTTCATACAACTGACTTTGTTTTTAAAATTTTTAGATCGACATTCGTATAAACAATCAAAATGTAGTGTAAATAATAAAATGTACAGAAGTATGAATGATATTCATTTACATGTCAATAAAGAACAGTCTAAAATGGAGTACAATGCTAGTAAAAGGTAAGCATCTTTTATATAAATTCATTGAAGTCTACAACTTTAAGTATAGGAATAATTGAAGTTGGTGAAAGAAAGTTCGTTTGCCACATAGTTTGAATTAATAATTGTCAACACTAGTGTCTGGTTCTCTTGGAAACGGGACTGAGCTGTACTGTTTGGGTTGCCACGTGAATTTCTGTCTGGGCTACACCCGGAGTCTTCGAATAAAGGTCTAATCCAGGAGGCAGTGAAGCAACATCAGGAAATGCAGTCCCATGTTTGCCTGTTCATACGCCATTTGTTCTTTCACCATCATGGAGCCCATGTGCACCACTGGTTTGGAATAAAGGTGAACCAACTCGTCTAGGTGGATCCTCTATATTCACCAACCCGGTTAAAGCGCTAGGCATTCTCTTTTCGTCCCCTCAATTTCGTAAACAACAGTACTACTGCAAGAATGCAGTGAGTAGGAGTTCCCTAGCGGTGACTGTATACGCATGACCTTGTGACAGTATTTAGAGAGGGAGAGCAGACTTCTCCCATTCTCGACCTTACCATGGAATTTCGGGGCTGGTGCGCCCCTGTCAAATGCTATGTTCTGATAAATCTCTAACCTGCTGTCAACAACGGAATGCTGTAGGCCATTTTAACAGTTCACCTTCTGAATTACCTGATTGAATATCTTGGCGTCTGCATTCATTTGTAATTGTTAAACTAGTAATCTCAGAATGTTGCATTTATTGAGACTGAAGCGAAACACAAATGTATGCAGCCAGTGGTCCATTCAAAATCTCACTAACTATTTCAATTTTCATAGGGAAGCAAATATCCAAATGTACACACTTTCGACTAGATATCTGAATACTTGTCAAAATGTAGATTATATTTAGCTTAACTGTTTGTCGTTAGAAATCTCAACTTTTCAACGTTTACATTGATTGATCATTAAATAGTGATCAATGGCATATTCGTTTCTATAGATCTAGGTACGGATCAAATTCCATAGATCACTTTGCACTGTGGATACCAGCCTGAGTGACTCGATATCATGAGCACTATTTTTGATATTAGGTGATTAGGAATAATCGGAGGAAGACCCTATATCTAAGTTTCATGCTAGTTAGTACTCATCATCAAGCGATATCTTCAGCTTCGGAGGAGGGAAGGGCTGAAGCTCTTTGTAGGATATAAACCATAAATTACCTAATATCACGATAAAGTGCATACGAGATCTAGTCATTTAAAGTGGTGGCCATATTGCAAATTGATCAATGTATCTCAATATATGACGTTTAATGTTTATTATTTCAGTCCTAACATTATCAGCTTTTCTAATCACAATAAGTGAAAGGAGTCGAACCACTAAAAATTAGCCAAATCCTATAAACGGAATCAATCATTATCAAGCCTAGGGAACTTAAATCTTCACAGAGCTCACAAACTAACAGATCACGGTTCTTAATTCTAGTCAGTTTGGGTTGTTATCAAACTTTTAATTTTGACTAGATCTACAGGCTGCCAGTACTTCCCACTTGAACTTAAGGACGTCTATATCAAAGTTAAATATTAATGAGCAAATGATTATCATTATTATTATGTTCGTTGATTTGATTGTTATTGTCAAGTTGGAGTGTAAAACAATCTTTAAATTACAGATGAATCTGTGAAATTCAGTTTAATCGATTCTATGATGAATTATGGATAACATTCAAGACATTTTACTGATTAACTCTAATTTCTCTTACATGATTTCAACATATTTTGTCTTGGACTCTCATTTCTAGTTGTCACCAAGTGCTATTTATGCCCTCAGTGTCTGCCTCCTATTCGTGGAGTCATATATTTTTTTGTTTAGCTTTTCTCTTTTTCTTTTCCCTTGAAAACTAAGAGTTAGAACTTGCTTTTCCATACAAAGTGTGTTCTATTCACCTCCAGGATGTTTTCCTAGTTTTCTCCTCAAATGTAAACTAGTTTATTATTTGTGATAATAGATTATTGTTGATAGTCTTTGGTCAATTGATTTGGAGTAGACAGCTATTTATAAGTACTTGTACATTTCTAAATACCGTTGTGCTTGCTCTTCAAATTTCAACTCCATATATTTTGTTTACTTGCTGTGTGTTATAGTTCTCTCTTTTATCACGACCCACCTATTCCTATTGCTTAATCTTCTTGGATACCAATTCACTCGACAAGTCCCCAAATCATAACACGGTTGAGCAGCAATAAAATCATATTCCAAATAACATGGGTAGATGAAAGTAAGAAGCACAATAAAAAGAAACCGTTAGTATATTTATAGTTATTACATGAGAAGATTCTTGAGTCTTCTCCAAGTACCGACTAGCGCTGATTGGATAAAACAAATAACCAATCAGCGTACACCAATACAATCGTCTACGGAATGTGCTTTATTTAATCCAATCTATTTCCCGCTGATGCATGAGATTATATTACGTAATACTAAATACTGTTATGTAATACTATTATTGAGATTAGATGGTGGTTGGAGGTAGTCAACAGGAAACCCTGGACCCGGGTTTTGTGCTACTTGGCACTCGTAAGCAAGGTGTACCTGTAATCTTGAGGGAACTGGTGCTCCCTGGCGGATTCGATCTCGTGTCACCCAGCTTCACAGTCAGAGACGTTATCACTGAGCTGTCCGGACCGCGACTGACCTCCTGTAGGAATGAGATGTAATCACAATTGATTGATCACTGGGTCCAGGGTTTCCTGTCGACTACTTACAACCACCATCTAATCTCAGTATATAGGGCACGAAGTGTCGAGTCAACTAGACTGGTGGCCACATTGCAACATGGTCGATAGCATTCGATCTGCACTAAATAAGACTTGACACACATGACATTGATCACCACCCAGTGATCAGTCAATTGTGAATACTATTATGTAATAATAGATAATGTAATATTAAATGAATATCTTAACTTTTATTGTGATTCAACTATATTTCATATTATGTATTGAAATACACAGTCAAGAGAAGCAAAGTAATCCATCACCGCAAAAATCCAAATACTCATCATCATCATATAAAGAAGGAATTCAAAATGATTCACATGTTATAAAGAAAACTATTGATCATTCTAAAAGGAACAATAAGCCAATAAGAATAGAAGAACAAATTCTTGAATATATCACATCTAATAATTGGGAAAAACAAATTAAAGCTATAGATATAATAGAAAATTTACTTGAAACAATGAATGTTAAACCATTAGAGATAATATTCAGTGATTCAAACAATATAAATATGCTTGTTTGTGGAATTGAACAAGCTGTTAAATGTTTACGTTCACAGGTAAGCTATTGACTATATTGTGCATAGATGATAAGAAATTTGCAGTGAAACTTCATCAGTTGGAGATATGTATTATGTATGCCCAATTACCGAATGCTCGAAAGTGCAATGTTTTATGGTGTAGGAGTAGGTTGGAAGAAAGTTAGGGTGGCCAGGCCAAAACATGGTACATATCCATGAAGTCACTGACAAGTGGACCGAGGCATACTGGTTGGTGTAGACTACCTGATTGGGATCGGCGAGATGATAGCAACCGATAGTTAGAGACCTTGAATGATATGATTCAAAATCATTTGCAATAGCGCAGGTGCATCCATACTTTGTGTTCTGCTAAATTCTAATCTCCTGAATTCTCCATGTCCCTTTATTTTTTCTCTTTCCAAATTTATTTCACTGGATTATACCTATTGAATAACATCTTCAAACCCTAATGTTTCCGATTACTGCTTATACTCTTACTAACTCTACCACTATGAGATTTGAATTGACAGTTGTATCTATGTGGTAATGTGAAGTGGCAACTCGAACTGATGTACGTACGTACGAAGTTCTACGTTGTTGCTGACTGAGAACTTGAGAGTGTTAAGAGTTATCGGTGAGACTATAATTCATGGACGAACCAATCAGGTATAAGATTACAGGTTTCGGATTTTGGCTCGAAATTCACTCACCCATTTGGCCAAATATCATCTTAGCGTTTTAGCTGATGTCAATTTGTAATGCAAAATCGTAAATCTAATTCCTAATATTAAACAACAAATGTAAATCATAATACTTATCATTCAAACTGATTTATTACCTTCATTTAGCCCTAGTAAGTAGTTAGACACCCTCACTTTGATGACGTTCAAAGGTCGTCCATAAATTATAGTCTTACCGAATTGTCAAAAATGAATTTGCCGTACGTTCAGTGACTGAGACAAAAATCGAGTATCATAATAATCAATAAATGCCCGATAGTTCCTAGACAACAGTAAGTGGGGAGAATTAGTTCTGTTTTTCAAAAAGATCTCATAAGGTTACTAGTTTATAGCTTTTGAGTGTGGATTCCTACTCACTGCCTCTACGTATCGGGAGCATTCTTAAGAAACCAAACGTACGACACAAACTGGATTAATGGTTAAATAGGGATTACTCAGAGTTTGAAAAACCCTGATATTACATGGGCATCGAACTGAAAGGGTAATAAATGCATTTGTTTACAATAATTTCATTTCCAAAATTACTCATCACATCATCCCTGTTGATGAGAGTATTTCGGTTCAGTGCTTGTAAAACCCAGTCTCTACGAGCTAAAGATGTTCGGTGACACTTCATGTTCAACCATCGTCTATCCGATAGACTACTGATATCTGATGAAGACATTATGTTCGTAATGCCAAAGCCAAACAGTATGTGCTCAGATAAAATGACGACATTTAAATTGGTATCAATATATTTAAACACTACTTTATTACGTTAGATTGAATGTCATCCAGACGGATTCCATATACGGTCTTTCTGACTTATGTACATCCTAAGTAAATCACTTTAATCTTTTCATTAAGTCGCATGCATTTTAAACAGAATCAGCAGTGATCAGTGATGGATCTCAAGACACGCGTTTTATCCTGTTGAAGACTCGTCAGCTGGATGTACTTGCATCCCAGTGTTGATGTTCACCCTCGAACAAATAACGCTTTACTTCAAATGACTAGACGCAGTTGATCTGGAAAATGTGATATACTAGAGGTATATATTTCGAACAGCCTGGTCACATATATGCTCATCAAGACATTTTTATTTGAAAACTACGAAACATCAATTGATTAAAAGGTCCAGTAAAAACAGAGTGATATTTGGACACATACATAGATAGGAGTAATCGAACTTTAAAATCAACTGTATTGGAACATGTACTAAAATGGCCTAATGATCATTTGATCTCGAATGCCTCGATAAACTCGGGGGTAAAAAACACAAATAAAAGAAGTCAAGGAATCAACCTCGAAACATCTTTTAACAGTTTCCATAAAATTTGTCAAGCGAGTGTTCTTGAGTTTATAGAGGTAAGAAAACATAAGCCAATTCTATATGTACGATAGTTTGTTATAACCTTGAATCTCTCCTGGCAAACCTTAATTTATTTTAAGCCCCGGAATAGTGGGGAACCGAATACATATGCGCCACACAAATCACTTGATTTGTGTGTGTGTGTGGTGTGATATTATCCGGATGCCCAAACCGAAGCAGGTGTTTTTCTTAGGGGGCCACACCCCGAGTCTTTGACCTAGTGGTCCACGATACAGTGTAGCAAAGTCAGCAGATGCAGTCCCATGATAGCCGATCACCAACGATTCGTTCATACGCCATTGGTTTGGAATTAGGGTTTTCCAAATCCCCTAGGTGGACCCCCAGTGTCCACCAACCCGGTTAAGGCACCGGTTGTTCGATTTTCGTCTTCTGAATTTCGTAAACATCAGTAATGCGGAGAGAAGGCAATGAACAGGACTTCACTGGAAGTGGTTGTATGGACGTAGCTATCTGCGAGTATCTCGAGAAAGAGAGCTGACTCTCCCCAGCTTCGGCCGTACTTTATATCCACCCAATTTTTAATTTAATTAACCTTTAATAATTTTCACAGAAAAATGTTTGAGTAGTATGTATGTGACCAGATTGTTCGAAATATACAATATAGAAACATATCACATCTTTCAGACTAATTTTGTCTTCTTATTGTTCTAGCCAAAGGCAAGTTCATTTTTGGGCAATAAATATCATTGAATTAAACCATAAGAAATCATATAGCCAAGAAAATTCACTTATTGATGTCATTACTTGATACAATGGGGATATTTCCTGATCAAATTCATCCTCTTATATATAGATCATCACCAGACATAATGTTCATCTAATTTACTTCAATTGAAAGTTCCTAGTTAATCATTCATATTCACTGAGAACTGATTAAGTTGATAAGTTTTTCACTAGTTCTACGCATTTCATTTCACACTAGAAAAATACTATTTAACTACTCAATACTTTAATTGTTGAATTCATGAGTCAATTGAAGTTAGACAACCAGTGAAAACTTGGAAGCACTGGACAGCTGCTTTATCCTATTGTTTGACTCCTCAGCAGTACGCATCCATGATCCAACCTCGCAATATTCGAACTTACCGGTCTCATGCACGAACGCTTAAATTCTAAACCATTAAACCGGTAACCAACAGTGTTAATGTATAACTTCAACCAATCCACAAAGTCGCACAATCGTCCATCATTGTCATCAGTGAGTTACTATCTCACAATAGACTCGGTTGAATTCCACTGGTCATGGCTTCTCACTAGATTATTATTATTATCTAAACACATAGATATTGGTACAAGGAGGCACCAAATACATATGCACTACACAGATCTCATTTGATATGTGTGAGGGCTGTGATACTGTCCGGATGCTCAAACAGAAGTAGGTGGTTTTCTTAAGGGGCCACACCCGGAGCCTTCGACCTGAGGGTCTGATCCACAAGGCAGTGGAGCAACGTAAGGAGACGCAGTCCCATGGTAGCCAGTGACCAACGATTGGTTCACACGCCATTTGTTCCCGCAGGATACTGGAGCCAGCCCATGTGCACCACTGGTTTGGAATCAGGGTTTTCCAACTCCCCTAGGTGGATCTTCCGTGTCCACCAACCCGGTTAAATTGCAGAACATTCGCTTTTTATCTCTTCAATTTCGTAAACAACAACCCCGCCACGAGAAGGCAATGAGTAGGACTTCCCTGGCAGAAACTATATACGCGTGAGAGCATTTTGAGAGGGAGAGCGGACTATCCCCACTCTCGTCCCTACCAGGACAATCGGGGGCGCTTCTCACTAGAACTCTAAGAAATACCTTTTTGATGAACATCACTAGAGAAGAGTTTTGTAAAGATCTTTCTTTTTTTTTTAGTAATTTTTGTAAATCATTCACTTCAAATGTCATTTTCTTTCTTTTGTGTTTTAGGTCTCTTTAAAAGGTTTAAAAATCATTGAACAATTATGTCTTTATTTAAATACTATTCATCAAGGTCATTTATTAAATCCTCATGGAGAATCTTTAATCACAACCTTATTAAGTCGTATTAGTGAAGATTCTAGTACAAAATTTTTACAAAATCAATCATATCAATCTTTAGAAACATTAATATCATGTATAGATCATGTAATGACTATCCATGTATTCTGTACAAATTTATGGGAGAAATGTCTACGTAGTGATATAAAACGTAATACAATTGGTCAATTATTAACTTTTATATTATATAATAATAAAAAGAAAACTATTCTATTATTTAAAAGATTAGGATTATATGGAATGAATCAATTAATGAAAGTTGTACAACAATTAATCAATGATAAAGTGTCAAGTACAAGGTTAGTTTACCAAAAAAAAGTTGATATCACTATGGAAACATTCATCTTTTGTATGTGTGTGACTGTAGGTGTAACTACTGAATAAATCTTTATCAGTATCAGGATTGTGAAACTCAAGAGCTGGGTTCGAATCCCACGATCGTGGGTGCATACTGCTGAGGAGTCACACAATAGGACAAAACAGCTATCCAATGCTTTCAGGTTTTCAATGATGATCTAAGATCAATTAATTCAAGATCTCAATCAATAACTTAATAATTTCCACAACCCTATCCTGATAATTACCATGTTCTCACTAGTGACTAGCTTCGTGAGGAAATTCTCGGAGTTCTAGTGAGAAGCCGTTGCCAGTGAAGCTAGTCCGTGTCGGGTAGAGACAGGTGTCTACCTCAGTACAATGGAAGATGGTCGAGCAATTTCGTGGATTAGTTGATGTTAGACGTTAACACCATTGGATGTCGGCCAGCTAAGTGGTTCGCGCGCGAGACTGAAGGCCTTGGTTTCGAATCTCACAAGCGGGATCATGGATGTCCACTGCTGAGGAGTATCAAAATAGAATGAAACGTCCATCCAGTGCTTACAAGTTTTCCATGGTGGCTTAGCTTCAATCGACTCATGATTTCTATCAGTGAAACAAAAGTATGCCAAGATAAATATACATAGGGAGACAAAGTGATATCAACAAAATAGTTTCTAATAACATAAACTTATCCAGTATGTGTTGATAGAGCAATATACTTTAGTACTTGGTTTATGTGAGGGTTGTAATACTATCATCCCAGTGCCGAAATTGAAGTAGGTAGTCTACTGTAGACTACAGCCTTGAGCCTAAAAGTCCAATTCACAAGACAATGAAGAAGTATTAGAACACATACCAACATGATAGCCGGTGGTCAAAATAGGCTTATATATGCCGTTTCCTCTGAATCATGGAATATATGTGCACAACTCTAGTAAAACGTATCATACCTAATCCCAGACATTTATAATTTGTTTAATTTTCTGTCAAGTGAAGGGAATAAGGAGGACTTGCATAAAGTCGCCATAAAAATGCGCAATCGTAAAAGATCAATTCAAAGTAGAGTGAATTAATGGAATGAATTTATCAGTGCCATATATATATATATATATATACTACTTGATTTCAATTCACTAATTGCCAGATAAGTTGATGCCTGGTAGTAAACCTGCCAATTTTTAATGCATTTCAGAAATCGCCCCCCCCCAAATGCCCTGGTACGGTATGAGACTGTATTTCCTGACGTTGTTCCACTACCTCGTGAATCAGATCTTTAGATCGAAGGCTCCGGATGTGACCCTCTAAGTTAACCACCTGTTTTAGTCTAAGACACCGGAGCAGTATTACAGTCTACACACACAGTGCCTATTTGTGCCAATATCTATGTGTTCAAAAAAAATTACAACTGTATACTTTATTCATTTGAAAATTATGTTTTCAAATCTATATATATTTTGTGTTTTGTTTTAATCAATCATTTCATATACATAAAGGTTATATGGACGTAAAATTCTTGAACAAATCAACTTGTTTACAGATATCAATAAAGTAGTATATAAACAAAATACGATGAATGATCATTCGTTAGAATTGAAATACATCAAGTCAAAAAACTTAACATTTCGAAGATGATCACTTCAGGATATTCTAATACATGATGATGATGTTCATAACATTCCATAATGTTATACATTTCTGATTCTATGAATTATTATTAAACAATAGAAACATATTCAACATAATGTAAACATCTACTTTGAAGTTGTTCAGCTATTTTTTCTTTTACTAGAGTTTTACAAAGTGAAATGTTCGTGTTTTGTGGGTACAGTCGTTTGATAATATCTACATCTCTTAAGATTATGATACAAATGTAGAATAATACGAAATGTACTGATTTGTTATGTTTATGAAGTATGATACATATTCCGTTTCGTCCCTATTGTGGGACTTCTCGGCAGTGTGCATCCACGATACCGCCTCGCGGCATTCGGACCCAGGACTTATCAGTCTCGCGTGCGATCGCTTATCCTCTAGACCAGTGAGAAGGCATTCAACAGTGTTAATGTCTAACTTTAACTAATCCACTAAATTGAGCGACACATCCATCATTGACATCAGTGAGTTACTATCTCACAACAGATCCGGTTGAACTCCATTGGTCATTGCTTCTCATTAGAACTCCAGGAAATACCTCTTGAACCCAGTCACTGGTGAGCATATGTCGATTAGTATCAGAACGGGTTTTGTGGAGATTGTTGTAATTTCAATAGTTGCGATCATGAGTCATTTGAAGTTAGACTATCATGCTGTTATTTAAATAGATACAGATTTAAACTAATCCCAAAACAAGACTCTGTATTTAGAAGATAAGGAAGGTATCCTAGACACTTTCTTACTGCAAACCGACATATAGAGAAAACTAAGTTTTGTTGTGTTCACCTATAAAAAAACAATGTTAATTGTGCAGACCAAGTCGATTGAAATATTCTACGTCAGTTAGTCAGCTACAATGTAGGAACAGGCATATATATATATATATATATATATATATATATATATATATATATATATATATATATATATATATATATATATATATATATGCATCAGTCCAATGTGCCACACATCTACTTGTTACGAGGCAAATTCTCTAAACATTTTTAAGAATAAATAACGGATACTAAACTTTTTTACTTCGAAGATAAACATGTGATAAGCTAATAAGTATTAACATCTCACATCACACTGTTGTGTAAACGAATGTCATAAACAATTATCCACATAGATTACGGAGTACATTTCTTCAGTTGATAACTCATAACTCGAGAACTTAAGAAAGCCTCTAAGTTCAACGAAGCAAAGCGTATGTGATTTGAGATATAATAAAATTCTCAGGAAACTAATGCAGGCTGCTGCCCAAATACAAATCACGCCAACTAATATTTTTATGCAACCGACCTTTCTGTATGCCATATCCGGCTAGATGATTTAACTGAGTGCACCTTAAGCTAAAATATTACATATCAGTTTAGTTGCGCTTCAACTCAAACGTATTTCAAAACTTGGCCTAGGATGGACAGATGATAAGCTAAATGATAAGAAGATATAAACAAACAATACTAAGTAAATTTAAGCTTCACTCCATTGTACAAGCAAGTGCCTATCAGGACCCAGTAGCTAAATGGATAATGTAATGGCGTTTGAAGCGAACGGTACTGGATTCGATTCCTGGGGTGAACATCAACTCTGTGATGCAGGTGCATCCGTATGACGGGTCCCAAATGCGACGAAATACGCGTCCAGGATTCCACTGCTAACTACTATCCGTCTTTACTTATAAAGCCCCCAAATGCCCTGGTACGGCCGAGAGTGGGGAGAGTCCGCTCTCCCTCTCGAAATACTCTCACACGGCCGCGCGTATACAGCCTCTGCCAGGGAAGTCCTACTCATTGCCTTCTCGTGGCGGGGGTGTTGTTTACGAAAATGAGAGGACGAAAAGCGAATGTCCGGCGCTTTAACCGGATCACAAACCAATGGTGCACATGGGCTCCAGTATCCTGCGGGAACAAATGGCGTATGAACCAATCGTTGGTCACCGGCTACCATGGGACTGCATCTCCTTACGATGCTCCACTGCCTTGTGGGTTAGACCTTTAGGTCAAAGGCTCGGGGTGTGGCCCCCTAAGATAACCACCTGCTTCGGTTTGGGCACCCGGGCAGTATCACAGCCCACACACAAATGATGAACTCTTTATGTCTATGGAAATTACTTTTCTCGCTTCGAAAAACAATCAATTGATTCAAATTATTATCATTACAAATATTGTCATTATTAATACTATTATTGTTATTATTATTTTCCACATTATTCACCCTCTTTTATACTTATACAGCGGCTCGTCTTTGGTGGAAATCCGACTGTATCTAAACGTTCTCGAGTCACTGTCCGGTTGAAAATTGTATGTTACCACCGAATACGAGACTGAAGCAGTTTTTCTGAAACCACGTGCACCATTCAAACTGGCTGCCTTCAACGTTCGCACATTTATGCAGGTCGGACAACAGATAGGGCTGGCTATGTCTTTGGAAAGTCTTAATATTGATGTTTGTTGTCTATCCGAGACCCGTATTCAAGACTCTGGCGAAGTACTACAAATTCGATCTCCATCTGTCGCTTCGAAAAGCTTGTTTTACGTGCGCTTATCCGGGGACCCTGTGGCATCTTCGTCTGGTCTTGCTGGCGTTGGTGTCGCACTAAGCGCTAGAGCTGAGGCAGCACTAGTCGATTGGATCCCCATTAACAGTCGGTTATGTGCTGTTAGATTAGAAAGTTCCATCAAAGTGAGAAGAAATCGGCGTGAGAAACGATGTCTTTTCGTCATCTCCGCCTATGCCCCGACAGATTGCAGCCCGGATGCAATCAAGGATGAGTTTTACCACCAGTTATCTGTTCTTCTCCAGAAAGTGCGTTCGACAGATATTGTAGTACTAGCCGGAGACTTGAATGCTCAGGTCGGGCGTCTAGGCACAGAAGAGAGTCGTTTAGGTGGCCGATGGGGACTCGTTGGTCGCAGGTCAGATAACGGGGACCGTCTACTGCAACTTTGCACAGACCACAACCTGTTTCTGGCTAGCACTAACTTTCGGCACAGTCATCGCCGATGTGCCACCTGGCGTCCTCCCTCTGCATCTCAAGCCTGGACTCAGATTGATCACATCGCGATCAGCTACCGCTGGCGTGGTTGTGTACAAGACTGCCGCTCCTTTTGGAGTACCTATCTGGACTCTGACCATGCCTTGGTCTGCGCCAATCTTGCCTTACTTTTCAGTGGACAACGAAGTGACCGCCACCAACGGATTGATGTTAGCAAGCTGGTTGCAACTTCTGTTGCAAGTAAGTATCGAACCGAGCTAGCCTCTAGGCTAGCTACCACTCCACCGAAAAGTATAGATGAGCATTGGTTGCAATTGCATGACGCCATGAAAATGGCGGGAACAGTCAGTTGTGGGTTTGCGAAACGTCCCGCTTTTAAGCACTGGGTTTCTTCTGGTTCCTTACAACTCATTGAAGCCCGTCGGTCTACTCCGGGTGACCGTGAGTTTGACCATAAACGAAGGATGTTACGTAAGGAAATTGGGCAAAGCTTGCGTAAGGACCGAGAAGCCTGGTGGTCGAGCGTGCTAATGAGCTGGAAGCAGCAGCTGCATCTGGTAACTACCGGAAGCTCTTCCAGCTCATCCGAGCCACTGGCAGCAAGAAGTCTGGTGTGAGTGAAACAATCTGCGAGGATGATGGGATGCCAATCACTAACATCCATCGACGTCTTGGACGATGGGCAGTTTTTTTTTTTTAATTTTTCAACTGGCCTGCTGCTCCGGCAACATCGGTCAGACTGTCCTGCCCTCCATGGCCGGTGACGACTGATCCACCAAATGAGGAGGAAGTCCGCAAGGAACTCCAACTCTTGAAGCGTTACAAATCACCTGGCCCAGATGACTTACCTCCGGCTCTTTTTAAAGATGGTGGTGACTTTTTGACTAAGGAATTGACGACGTTGTTTACAAAGGTTTGGGAACTAGAGAGTGTACCAACGTCATGGAATGAGTCGATAGTTGTCCCTATCTTTAAAAAGGGTTCACGTCGTTCCTGTAACAACTATCGGGGGATAAGTCTACTTCCGATTGCGTCCAAGCTATTGGCTTCCGTCATACTTCGTAGGTTGTTCAAAACCCGAGAAAGATTGACTCGCGAGGAGCAGGCTGGGTTTCGTTCTGGTCGAGGATGTATTGATCATATCTTCACCCTCCGCCAAATGTTAGAACACCGCCATACTTATCAAAGGCCAACAATCGTAGTGTTTCTTGACATCAGGGCTGCCTTCGATTCGTTGGACAGGACTGTTCTCTGGGATTGTCTATTGAAGAAGGGTGTGCCTGAGAAGTTTATTAACATCCTAAAAGCCCTATATAAAAACACCTCAGGCAGAGTGAGGGCATACAACCACCTCTCTCCATTGTTCCATTCGAGCAGTGGGGTTAGGCAGGGTTGCCCAATCTCACCATTCCTCTTCAACTTTGCCATCGATGACATTCTGGAAACAGCTCTGATGAATGTAAGTAATGGTGGTGTGGATCTGTTGCCTGGAGAAAGACTTCTCGACCTTGAGTATGCGGACGATATTGTCTTACTGTGCGATAATGCCCAAGGCATGCAATCCGCACTTAATCAGTTGGCAATCAGTGTCCGTAGGTATGGTATGTGCTTTGCACCTTCGAAGTGCAAAGTACTTCTACAAGACTGGCAGGATTCTAATCCTGTACTCACCCTGGATGGTGAGCAGATAGACGTAGTCGAGAAGTTCGTGTATCTGGGTAGCTGCATAAGTGCTGGTGGGGGTGTGAGTGATGAGATCAATGCACGTATAGTGAAAGCCAGAGCGGCTTATGCCAATCTGGGCCACCTTTGGCGCCTTCGTGATGTTAGTCTGGCTGTAAAAGGTCGGATCTACAACGCGTCGGTGAGAGCAGTTTTGCTCTATGCTTGTGAAACCTGGCCTCTCCGAGTTGAGGACGTTAGACGACTCTCTGTGTTCGATCATCGCTGTCTCCGAAGGATTGCTGACATTCAGTGGCAACACCATGTCAGTAATGCAGAGGTTCGGCATCGTGTGTTCGGGCACAGAGATGATAATCAATTGGTGTCACCATCTTGAAACACCGACTTCGGTGGCTTGGACATGTTCTACGAATGTCGTCCCAGAGAATTCCACGTCGTGCATTATTTGCCGACTCTGGGACTGGTTGGAAGAAGCGGAGAGGTGGTCAGTGCATGACATGGTGTCGTGGTATGAAAGAAAGCTGCAAAGGACTGGCTTGTGTTGGTCCTTCACGACTCCCTGGTTGGGGTCCGAGAGATGGTGCTACACAGTGGCTAGAGACGTTATCAGATATGGCTCAGAATAGAAGCCAGTGGCGATCCTGCTGTAACCTTCTTTTACTTTCTTCATAAAAAGTGGTTGTGTCTCCCTTACCTGAAAGATTTCTTCTGATTGTACCTTTCCGTTCCCTCATTACTACCATACTACCTTACACCAATCTCTTCGTTATTGTTCTCTTTTTCTTTTGCGCTCCTTAGTTTTTTTTCCTATTTCTCTTCGAATTCTCATTGTTTTGTGTGGCGCATATATATTGGCGCTCTCTTGTACCAATATTCATGTGTTCAAATAAATAAATACTCTCTCTTGAGCTCCAGTATCCTGCGGGAACAAATGGCGTATGAACCAATTCTTTGTTCACCAGCTACCATGGGACTACATCTCCTTACGATGCTCCACTTCCTTGTGGATCAGACCTTCAGGTCGAAGGCTCGGGGAGTGGCCCCCTAAGAAAACCACCTGCTTCGATCTGGGCACCCGAGCAGTATCACAGCACTCACACATATCGAGTGAGATTTGTGTGGCGCACATATATTTGGTGCCTCATTGTACCAATATCTATGTGTTAAAATAAATAAATAAACTTGGGATCTAAGGCAATATCGAGGCAATCTGAACAGGATGCACATATGCCAATAGGAGACTGATCAATTGCAGTCCTAAATAACAATTGGAAGAGACAAGTAAACTACAGCAAGTGAATTTATAACTCTTAAGAATCTACTGAAAAGTCTTGATGAATGTATGCATACGACTACTTTATTGACAAACTTCGAATTGATTTAGTATCCATCAGTCAAAGCATAATTCCTTTTCATCTAATTGACAAACTCAACTGTCAACCACATGATTATAAAGACAAGGAAATGCGCCATTAGTTTATTATTATTTAGTGAATAAAGCGTATGAACGTATAGCGAAATAGATGATCATAACCTTACATTGAACAAGTAATACACATGTTGCCTTAACGACCAATTGAGGTGAGTAAAACGAAAACAGTAACTTATGATCTCATGCATCAAGGCAGAGAAGAACAAATGTCTTGAAAATGGTATAGTGTTGTGCATAACCAATGAGTTGGGATTGCTTGTTTATTAGACAATTGTTTGACTAGGAGGACTTCCAAGACATGATGGAAAGAAAATTTCTTTCAACTTGTCTTCAAATTAAACTAATATTTCGGTGTATATATAGAATAGATGGAATGTAGCTATCAGTGGAATCCATGATGAGTTTCATCCTACTTAGGAGTTCTCATTTGGATGTACTTGCATCTCCAAGTTGATGTTCACTCCGAGATTCGAACCTAAGACGTTCCCATCCAGACACCAATGAGTTATTTACATAACCAGTAACTGAGTTCACAGAGCTAATTACTGATGCAACGGGTATTAACTGTAATTTAGTTTTCAATGATTCGGTGTTATATCTCAAGGAGGGTCGCCGATTATAGGACAGTGACTTATCGATCGGATCAAGGGATTCAGAATTTCGATAGGCTATTCTGGTCCGTTGTACCCGACTCAGCTAACGCGATCTAGAAGTCTGGGTGAGGCGTAGAAAGTGTATTCTACAGACCAACAGCAGATGACAAGTCAAGTCAAGCACACAAATCAAGCGTATTTATACAAATATTTACAGTCGATATTGTCATAGTAAAATGTTTTCAAACATTATTCAATAAGTTCATCAATCGACAGGCATTCAGATATTTAATCGATAAATTCGTCAATTGACTACTATTTAACATTTAATCGATAAGATGAAATTACAAAATTAGAGTTTTGGGGATCCGTCGTCCCCAACATTTGGACTATCTTGTTGTCGAATATTTTGACTTAAATTTGATCAGTCTTAGTTGACATATGTGTATTCTGTGGAAATTGCTTTAATATAGACATTATGTCACAAGTTTGTATAGCTACCCACATTCCATCTATTCCATAATGGCGAATATTGTGGCAATCTGTACAGGATGCATAAACGTCCATTACTTACTTACTTACGCCTGTTACTCCCCGTGAAGGAGCATAGGTCACTCACCAGCATTCTTCATGCAACCCTGTCCTGGACAATCCTTTCCAGCTCCTTCCAGTTTTTATTCATCTTTTCATATCTGCTTCTATTTCCCGACGTAATGTGTTTTTTAGCCTTCCTCTTTTCCACTTCCCATCACGATTCCAAGTTACGGCCTGCCTCGTGATGTAGTTTGATGATTTGCGTAATGTATGTCCTATCCATTTCCATGGTCTTTTCCTAATTTGTTCTTCAACTGGAAGCTGGTTTGTTCTCTCCCACAGAAGGCTGTTGCTGATGGTATCCGGCCAATATATGTCCATTAGGACGACGGGGTAATCAAAGCCATTACAAAATTAAATTAAGCTGTAAATTTATTTGAGCAAGCCTGAAGACCTATAGAATATATTGCCCATAGATATTTTATCTTATCAGTCAGTCAACAACGTAGAAGTTCCTACGTACGTACATCAGTTTGAGTTGCTATACCACATTAGCACACAGATATAATTGTCCATTCAAATTCCGTAGTGGTAAAGGTATTAAGAGTTAGACAGTAATCGGGTATATTAGGGTTTGAAGACGTTATTCAAGGAGTATAATCCAGTGAAATAAGTTTGGAAAGAGTAAAAATAAAGGGACATGAAGAATTCAGAAGATTAGAATTCGGGAGAACACGGAGCGGATGCACATGCGCCATTACAAACAATTTTGAGCCATGTCATTTAAGGTCTCTGTTATATCTAGAAGGTTGTTCTTGATGTACCGCGTATAACATGAGCACTAGAACGCCAGAACCCTTCCAAGTCGCAATGAGAAGACAGAAGACTAATGAAAGGAATATTATTCCCAGACAGTGCCAATTATAGTACAAAATTGTCAGGTATTTATAGTTTTTAGTAAGAACGTAATCATCATTACAGTCCTCCAATCCACATACAGGGGGTTATTTGCATTGTCCAATCGGAAAGCTACACGTAAGAATTCTAGAATATTCTTCCAAAAGGTGATTGGATGGAATATCCTCGGCTCCTTCTGAGCCTCCTACAGCTTCCTCGAGTTCACCCGTGGTCCGTCGTCACAATTTCTAACCATCAGTTGCTATCGTCTTGCGGATCCTAACCAAGTAGTCTACATCCACTAATATGGTTCAGTGACTTCATGGATTTGTGATATGTTTCGGTCTAGCCGCCCCTAGCTTTCTTACAATTTACTTCTATACCATAACATTTTTACTTTATCGTTAGTGAGAAAAGTTATCAATACAGTTTTTATTAATATCACTATTAAACAAAAACAAAAGTTTAAAGCAATATGATAAAGATTTATACACTATTTAGAGTAATGTTTCGGGAGTAAGTGATAGAGCGTCTACACACGAAAAAAAAAGATTTCGACTGTTTTTTTTTACAGTTTACTGCTTTGACTGAAAACAAGTAGTGTACTGAGATTGTGGTTCATTGAAGCAACCGCTAGAAACAACAGAGGCATATGAAACATAGAACTAAATACTCAGTGAGAAAAGTAAGAGATTGCTTAACTTTAAATAGCCGTTGAAACAATTTACAGTTTGCGTGTGAAGAGTAATTTTTTTCAGAAAAATGTAAAATCAAGTAAACCTACGTAATGTACACATAAATATGTCCATTGAACTTATATGATATATATATACTAATATCTGGAAATTTTCATAGGTGACAGTCTGTTCTTAAGTAGTACTTGCTGGAATTCCATCATATTGATTTTTTGTTCATGCATTCACTTCAGATGACTGATTTGACGTCCACGTTTTACAGACAAATTGTGTAAGCGAGCCAAATTTACTTCGACTGTAGTTGTTTGATTTTTAAGAAATTCTAATGTTTGATCTACATCTTGCAAGGATTGTTCAGCTGATTGTTCATTTTCAACGAGTATTTTGTCAGCTTCCTCTAGATCATATTCTAACATGACATTGGCACCTAACCATAAACCAACTCTATCTGCTTTGGGAATATGAGCACGTGTATATAACTGGTTAGATATTTCAAAAGTTACGTCTAAACTAGTATTTTGTTTTTGTAATTGTCGGACAACAGCTAAAGTTTTCTGTATATCTGGTAACTGTTGCATTAATCTTATTTTACGCTGTAATAGAGCCTGTTCAATAATTTTATATTTTTGGTATAATTCTTCGAAAGAACGTCCAGCTTCCATAAGAGTTGAAAAATTATTGGCTTTCGTGTAAGCATCTACGTCTTCGATGAACTCAGCCTTTGGTATTCCCTTCTTATCCATGTCATTATGTTTATCGTTTTCTTTTGAGTTGTTGCTTGTGTCAGCCATAATCAACGGAACTAAAACTATTAAGATTAGTAAATAATATGTTATGAGAACTCATAATCTTAGTGACAAAAAAAACATGACGCTAAAAACCTGAATCACAAATATTTTTTATCATTACTAAAATTGGCTTATCTTGCATCTTAGTGTCATCTGTAAACGTGAAGATGGGAATTTAATCTCAATTAATGGAGATTATACAAAGTTACGATGATAAGTCGTACTTTTGGCGTAATGTATGTCTTATCCATTTCCATCGTCTTTTCCTAACTTCTTCAGCTGGTGTGGCGCATATATATTGGCGCTCTCTTGTACCAATATTTATGTGTTCAAATAAATAAATAAATAGAACTTTTGGCCAGGTATTTGTCAACCAGAAAAAATAAATGAGTGGCTAAAGGCAATTAATAAAGCGGTTGGGTTAATAAGTGTTTATTTCCTGTTATATATTTGAAAGGTTAATAAAATTGACTTACACTCGAGTACAGCATTGGTTACGTACTGAAAGTTTAATGAACGAGGTATCTTCAAGACCTAATAGTAGCGTTTGATAGTTTATGAAATATTTAATGCCATTTTAAGGCGTTGAGCACTTGATACTGAGTCATTGAATTTAAGGTTTGAACTATTCTTTACCTTAATCCATTTGTATTGTTTATTCGAATCTTCCATTATTGTTTAGAACTCTAATTAATCAATCTCTTTTAACATATATGTGCATCCTGTGCAGATTGGTTTAAAATTTGCTTATTCTTTAGTTTGCTGAAGGTAGACGAATATTATATTTCATTCTAAACATGATTTAAATCTTCGTACATAGACCAGAACTTTTCTCGCAATTTACAGCAGTTTTTGGTGACAATTAATAAAACAGGCTAATAACCATTTTCAAATAAGTGGCTGTGTAACTTATACAGGCAGACTAAATAATTAAGACTTTGTGTAATGGTGTACTTTTAAACAATATGAAGGAAAAGGTCAGCAGAAAACGGAACAGAAAAACACAATAAAATAGATATTTACGGGTCATGAGATAGCCAAGAACAAACCCAACTACACAACCCATTACGATTGCCACCAGGTGTTCTTAAACTTTGCCACAAAGTGGTTAAAAATAAACGGAGTTAAGTACTGAGAAAAGCAATCTTTTAGGAGTCAATGGAAAAAAGATCTGAAGCCTACTTAGGTGAAGTAGGTAATTGGGAACTTGGTAAAGTAACCCAATACCACCAATCTCTACAGATGTAGTCTCGTGTTGGATCAGACTAAAAAACGAAGGGTACTCAAACCAGGATGTGAGACTACCCTATGAATACATTGACAATTGGACTGAACCATATAATTATGTAGAGAACACCTAGCTGGAGTCCGCGTGATTATTTTAACCAATGATTAGAAAATTTAGGTGACATGGTTCAGAATTGTTAGCAATAGAGCAGGTGCATTCACTCTTTGTTTTCCTTTAGAACTTAGGTTCCGGAAGTTTATTATACTTTTTCATGCATAATATTTGCTATTACTGCTGATTCTGCTACTACTTGTACTACTCTGGGATTTGTCTTGAAATAATTTTATCTCGCCGGGTTGATATGGCATGGTAGCATGGACCGATGCATGTATCAGGTTCTATGTTTCGTGTGTGGCGCATCTGGTGCCCCTTGTACCAATATTTATGTGATCGAATAAATAAATCTATGTTTTGTATGACTGACCTAATGACTTTGTATGATAAGCAACAGATTTTTTGTCCACGTCTGTCCAAAAAAACCCAGGTGTTTCATTTCCTTTTACATCTGGGAAGTTTCGCTAGCCATGATTAATTATTAACTGAATAGATCTCGATACTAACTCAAAAAAATAATCCGTTTTTTCCAACTTGTACCACCTACAGTGTAAAATAGATATCCTCGTCTACTAAACGATAATGGTATACAGCGCAGAAGTCTGTTTTCTTTACTATACGGGTGTAGAAAGCGGATTTTGAAGGTAGAGAATTCTTAGAGTACTATAATTTTATCACAGGTATTTTCGAAGCTTTAATAGTGTATAGTAGAGCGACCAAGTAAGTAATCACAAAGCCTATACATAGTACAATGTAAAGTTGGAAAATCAGTTAATGAGGCTGTGAATCATCATGTCTGAGACATGAGATACCTACGCTCAACAAACTTTTGTTATAACGTAGAGTTTCAAGGATTTTCTAACCCAATCATAAGTAATGTTATTCGCGATATAATTATAAATATTGGTAATTTAATCATTTCTACACAGCACCCCAGTGTCCAGACGGAACACTGGTCCAATAAAATACTAGGTTGAAAAGTATACCAAAATGATGTGAAAGCATATATATGTAATTGTATTACAAATACCCCTAATGCAACTGGTGTGTGTACATGGACCACAGTGGTGTCGTGAGACTGAAGTTCGTCGATCTAGAAGTACTGGTAGAGACGCAAGTCTAAATTGTAGAGGCTACTGTGAGCACTATAAGAACTTACAGAACATTTCACAAGGCTAAGTTGTAAATCTCATAATGAAGTATACAACATAATAGCTTCCAAACTAGGGAAGCAAAAGGTTCTCTCATATATATATATATATATATATATATATATATATATATATATATATATATATACCAGCTTAGCCATCTCATTAAATTTGGCTTCATAATTATCTGTGATTCCATAGCATGGACGTGATCGTATCCAGTGATGGTACTGATGCAGCTAGGTGATTGCCAATAATATCCAGATATGGTAGCCTACAGCTTACCTCATCAATCCACAGCTAAGTGTGCAATTTGTACATTAGCAGTTGACAACTGATTGCATTGTTACACCATGGAATCTTGGATGTGACGAATCTTCAGTGGCTAGGTGCTCCCAAATGCCCTAGGACGGAAGAAATTAGGGAGTCAACTCTCCCTCTCAAAATGCTCTTACATGGCCACGTGAGTAGAATAACTGACAGGGAAGTCCTACTCAATGCGTTCTCGAGGCATCACTGTTAATTACGAAATTGAGAGGACGAAAAGCGAATATCCGGCACTTTAACTGGGTTGGTGGACATGGAGAGTCCACTTAGAGAAGTTGGAAAACTCTCATTCCAAACCAATGGTGCACATGGGTTCCACGATGGTGAGAGAACAAATGGCGTATGAACCAATCGTTGGTGACCGGCTACCATGGGACTGCATCTGCTGACGTTGCTTCACTGCCTTGTGGATCAAACTTTTAAGTCGAAGGCTGGGGGTTCGGGCCTCTAAGAAAACCACCTGCTCCGGTTTGGGCGTCCTGGCATTATCCCAACCCCCAGACAAATCCAATGATTTATGGGGCGCATACGTATGTGGTGTCTCCTTGCACGAAGGTTTATGTGTTAAATTTAAAAAATATATAATAGATAGTGGCTAGGTTGTCTATCTGCATATTAAGACTTCAAACTGAAATACAAAGTTCGTTCAAATTCTAAAACAACCGGATGTATTAACTTGACGTGTGTACGCTTGCGATAAGTTTCCACTCGTCAACTTAATAGCAATTTCTTGTGTTAATTATTTTTTCGTCATTATGCACTATGATTCATACTTTTTTTTTCCTTTGGGCTCAAGACACATATATGCACAATAATAGCGTGCGCACAATGGCAACACCAACCTACATTCCGTAATTTATTGCCAAGTAAAAGAATTCTTATTGATATACTTGCACTTTTGGTCCACAACCCTTCCGCTTATGCCAAACAAGCAAAACCAGACATTATTAACAAGACCAGATACACATAACAAAAGCCTTGTCTGATTGTCCACGAATGTCTCGTGCCTATCACTAACTATCCATATGAAGAGCCCACCATTATAAATTCAAAAGCAACGTAATTAATGGAAATTTAAAAATAATAAGACACAACTGTGTCTTATTATTTAGTTTAGTCTTAAGACTAAACTTTAAATATGGGAATTTGTCAAACTATCTCATGATTGAAACTTCGTTACCACCCGAATCTAGTCTGTAGATAAACGTATACCATTCTTATTAACATAAATCCATGAAACATAATACTCGATAGGGAGACGACACTAACCCACCTGCGGTAGCTATATCTTTAATAATGCGCTCCGCAACAAAGCATATTCCAATATATACAATACAGTTTTAATGAACTAACATAAACCACCTAGTTTCCCTGATTTCATCCATTAATAATAAAAACCAGTATACGTCTTGTTTCAGACGGGTCAACTTATTGTTAGTAACATGTTGGATTTTGGAGATAAAATGAACGAATTGTAAATCCCAATATGTTGAAGTCTAGCCATACGATCGCACTGATTATGGTCAGTTTTGGTAGTTATTAATGGGTCTCTATATACTGAAATCTTAGTGAGAACGTTTGTCTCGAGGAAGTAAAGTTTCTCGAACCAGTAGATATAACATTACCAGAATAGAGGTTGGTTGATTGTTTACACTGTGAAAAGTAATGAAGAGAAAATCCAAATTCAGAAAAGGTAAAAGAAGACCATTGTCTCAATAAGTGGATTGGTACTTACACAAGGTAATGGAAAGGTAATGCAGACAGTGTGATAAGACTGAAGTTCGAGAACAAGAGGGGAAACAAATACAATTATAACCGGGATAAGTATAAGTCGGTGACATATGGTAATGGTAACAGTAGGTGAGTAACGAGACATGTGTCAAATACAGTTAGTCTGAGTGTAAAATGATAATTCAGTAGTGAGTAAGTGTTTTTTAAGTCACCTCTTGAAACTATTCACTGCGGTCACAACGAACAAGACAGATAGGGGCAATCCCTAATGAGAAAAATCGGGGGTACATACGGACTTTTGCCTTTTGACATGAAATTTTTCAGGGATTTTCCCTAGAGGGATGATGATGGTGTTCTTTAAGGATGTCAGTGTTGAGGTGACTTACCGTACTGAATACGTCATGTGCCGTTTTCAGGTTAGTTCTTCGTCCCTAGCCCAGAGGAAAGATCCTTGGGTGTCGGAGTCTGTCTCCATAGGATTTGTTTCACAGCTTCATCGTCAACTTAGCCTCTCGCTCCTGCACTTAATTAAAGGGTTTTGTATCTCCTTTGAAGAGACGAAAAATAATAGTGGATGTAAATGAGATGTGATGTATACATGTTGAAATGTAAAAAGCGTGTCACTTCAAGATCAAGTATAGTCAGATGATGTCTCAAGCGAATATATCTAAGACACCATAGCACTCATAGTTATGGTGTCCCTTTCTAAAATTTTCTATTGAGAAGGCTGCAGTCACCTGGGCTGGGAGGATGGAATCGAACCGTGAACTTATCAATGTGCTCACAAATGGATCTCACGCCTTTGAAATGTAGACCGAGAGTCTCCCTGAGGCGAGCTGAGGTTACCTTTGCAATAATCTTTGTGGTGAGCGGGGATTCACTAAACTGGTTCTCGGCCTCTGATTCTTCACCTAAAGGAATTTTTCTAGAAACGAACCCCGTCTGGTAAATGAAGTGCCATAGATTGGAAGTGGTCTCGACTAGTATTTGAAGGGCATTTCGTTTTAATGTAAGGCATGTCTCTGTTCCAGGGTTATAGAATTCATGTAAATAATAAGTCTTGATATAACTATAGAGTATTTTAAACAATCGAAATGGTAACGTCAATGAAGTAGAAGGAAAGAAAGAAAAGACGCCCGAAACAGGGCTGGTTTACAACTACTGTGTCATGTGGTTGTTTCATATTTCCTTCTCTTAAAGCCTTTCTGCTGTAATTGATAGGTCTTCTACGTATTTTTGCTTATCAGCTCTACTGATTCTCTTCATTCTCTTGTTTACTTGTGTGTATTACGTCTTTACCTTGACTTTCTCTTTCCTCGTTCGGCTGTTGTATTGTTCTTTCTACCTTGAACCTTGTCCAGGGTTTCCACGGATATCCATTTCTTTATGGTAATGCTTCTTGTGAATAAAACTTCTTGATACGTTGAAGTTAGTGCTTCACTGATCACTTTTCAATTGTTCTTCAGAGTAATTTCCCATTCTCTAATTAGATCATTTAATGCTTGGGACCTTCTGATGAGAGTTATCTTGAATTCGTTGAGTTAGTCAGTATCTCAAAAGAAGGCTGTATTGAACATTTATAATGCCGTTTCTCCAGTTGTCCAATACTTCTTTAGCTTGACAACCACCAAGTGGTAGCCTGATGCTATGTTAGCTTCTCTCCCAATCTCCACGTCTTCTATTGCCCTGCCAAATATGTTAGTGATGCAAATATGATCTACCTGGTTCTCCGTGGTGTGGTACGGTGATACCCATGTAACGTTGTGTATACATTTGCGGAGGGAATATAGCGCCGCTACGTACATCTAGCGATGAAAATCTGCTTTTTAAACGCAATTTAGAAACAATATAATCATGGAAGAATTACGAAGAATTACAAAAATAAGAAGTAGCACACTGCTAGGTTTTAAGCTATTATGAGTTCACTTAGTATGCAAACAGAACAAAGACCTGTGACCATAGATCAATAAGCTAGCTATTTTATGCTTCCCAGCCCCGCTAACTAGAGGAGGAATTCCAAGCTTGGGACAAGAAAGTGTATTCCGTAAGTCAGAAGCACGAGTGAATAATAACGGACACAAACCAAATGTACTTATACAGCACAAAAGTGTCCTTGGGGAGCGTTGCAAGAAAAGCATACGAAACATACACAACGGACCAATAGTGTTAAAGATTCTTCCAAGTAGGAAATACAACATGAAGGTGAAAAGAGCGCTTTTGGTGCAAAGACAAGAAATTTTAAATTTACAAAATAAAATTATAAAATGAAGGCAGTTACCAAGTGAGTTCTGGGTATCTAATATCCCCAACACACATGCCTAACGAACAGTGGCGGAGAGATAACTCAATGAATCAACGAAGAGTCAGTTAAATTTATATGGATGTCTGAGGCGAACTCATGTCTGACATTGAAACAATTATAACGACAGTGGTAGCTTGTCTGGAATTAGACAGGTCAATCCAAATACTATTGACTGATTCACCAATATCCACGATCACGGTATTCACCCTCAAAGAATTGGTCAAACTCACTCGTGAATTACTGAACACTAATGCTTCAGACACACCAGATACATAACTGACAGATATTTCCCATTCAAACATTAAAAACATGAAGTTCAGCGAAAGGGTCTCTTTTCAATGAATTTATTATATATGTCGTATACATATACGTATACATGTATATAAATATATATCAAATCGTATATATATATATATGAAAGTTGTCACTCAAGCACTTGTTCCGTGAGGAAATGTGAAAAAGGAATAACCAAGATGATGTGATAGAAAGCTCATAATACTAGATTGAGCATTACGGATGATAACAATAGAAGTAATAAGTTAGTGATTAATTATAACCTGAATGTAGTAAGACGATTAAAATATCCTTGTTACAATAATTAGAGGTCATAAAGGTGTAAAAATGTAAATAAAGTCATATAATCAGCAATTATGAATAAAATAATTAGGATATAATATATAAGCAAGGAGAGAAATGCAATAATAACAATAATATTGATAATAATAATAATAAGGTCCAAGGTAACGACAAAATAGGACGTTTATCTTTTGTACGAGTAGTTCTGTTTTGAGCTCATCGATGGTAAGAGCTTCGGCTTTTTTTAGGAGTTGGGTGAATATTATATACAACTTTAAAATAAAACTATGGATCAGTACAATGTTTACTGTCAATTATGTGTTCAAGTATGGAACTCCTACCTGCTCTCTTCCATCCAATAATATCGATCCACACTATCTCATGATTCCCAAGCAAACATATCACAAAAGCTTTTTAACGTTCGGCATAACATTCCCACGTGCTCCCGAGTGGCAGTTCACAAATATAAGTGAAGTATCATCCGTCTGTATTGGATTAGCATTAATCGATATTTGAAGTCTAGATACTATGTCTAAAATACAGAAACCCACAAAAGTTGACTATAATTAATGAAGTTGAATGACTAAACTACCACTTTTGGACATTACAAAATGCTTGCAATCGCACAGAAACATTAAGAAGAGAGTGAAAAGATATCAATTAGTTTATGCAAGCTCGTGACAAATAATTTGGATATTGGATACTGGACATCTCATTGAGGTTGTTTCCATTAGAAACGCCTTGGGAAATTCTAAGTGGTGATTTGATTTTTCAGTTTACTACATTTGAAACATAATCACATCAATTTTGTGTTTTGACTATCGAATTTTCTGTCTTACGTCTATGATTTTGAAGTCAAACGTAATCAGTCGTAAGCAAGTCTTCAGTAATAAGGATAGGTCTGTCGACTTATATTAATCCTTGCAGTTTGTAATACTGTGGAGGTCCAATCTCGTTTTGAATATATTAACAGATGGTGCTGATATTACGTGTTCCGGTAGAGAATTCCAGTAATTCACTACTCGGTGCGAGAAACGGAACTCCAAACGTAAACGGTTTGATCTCGGTTTTTGAACTTTCTTCGAATGTCCTCTCAAATGATCAGTCCTAGACGGAAGCAAAAGATAAGACATGTTAATACCAAGGTCATCGTTCAGTATACGATAGGCCAATATTAGATCACCCCTTATTCTACGGTAAGATAACGGAAATAAGTTAAGGTGTCTCAGTCTGTCTTCATAAGATAGGCCAGATAGACCTTGTACCATCTTAGTAGCTCGTCGTTGGACTCTTTCTAGCATATCTGCTTCATATTTGAAACAAGGACACGCTGCTTGAATCCCGTATTCTAAATGTGGTCGCACATAAATCGGGTATAGTAATCTAAACATTTCATCATCTAAATACTGGAAAGACCTACGAATTGACCATAATACCCTATAGCCTTTTGCAGCAGCAGCCTTACAGTGACTAGTCGTTTTGAGATCATTGCTTAATATGACTCCTAAATCTTTATAGTTTCTTACTTTGGGTAGCACGAATCCACGTAGTGTATAGTCATACGATTCATCAGAGTTATTTAACTGCATCACTACACTCTTATTAGGATTTACTTCTAGTGACCACCTATCTAACCATGCCACCAATGAGCTAAGATCGTCCTGTAATACTATCCTATCCGACATGCTATGTATGGGTCTCCAAATCTTTATGTCATCAGCGAAGAGTAGAACGGATGATTTTGCTACAGTTGGCAATTCATTTACATAAAGTAAAAAGAGAAGAGGACCCAGGATTGTACCTTGGGGAACCCCACTTTTTACAGGTACCCACGAGGAGAGAGCCCCATTAACCCTTACCCTTTGTCTCCTGTCATGGAGAAAGTTACTTATCCAATCGACGACTGTATAATGGATTCCAAAACGTTTCAGTTTGAATTTAAGACCAGAGTGGGAAACCTTATCAAAGGCTTTACTTAGATCTATGAAAATCACATCCACAGGAACATTCCGATCCTTTGCCGCAGCCCAATCTTCTCGTGCAATGAGAAGATTTGTCAAGCAAGATAGGCCTTTCCGAAAACCATGTTGTTCCCTGGAGAAAAGATTTTGCCCTTCAACATAGTTTATAACAGCTATCCGAATGATTTTCTCCATCAGTTTTACAACTGCACTAGTTAAGCTAACGGGTCTATAGTTACTAACTAAATCCCTACCCCAGCCTTATACACCGGACTTATTATGGCGTCTTTCCAGTCTCTAGGAAGTCTGGACTGTCTCAGAGACATGTCGAATAGTATCGCTAATGGTTCAGCAATTTCATCTGATATGGCTTTCATAATCCTAGGATGAATATCGTCAGGACCACTGGACTTATCAGGTTTGAGATGCTGGAGTAGCCTTAAAACAGTATCTTTCTCAATGACTACAGGATCCATCAGCGAGCCGTCACGGTCGCGACGAATCATTGGTCGTTCCTCATTACCGATAGAAAACACTTTACTAAAGTATTCCGATAAAGCTTCAGCTTTTTCGGCATCATTCTCTGCTAAGATTAACGGATTTTCTCGTATCAAAAGTGATGGAATTCCATCACTTCTCTTAGTTCGCCTTTTTATATACGAGAATAACCGTTTCGGACTATATCTAGAATCCCTAACCAATTGTTTTTCGTATGATAGTCTAGTCTTACTTATTAACGCTTTACAGGCATTCCTAATCTTACAGTAACTGGATCTGTATTGTTCTAAGCCAGTAGAGATGAACATATTCCAGTGATTCTTCCTTTTTCTAAGGAGTTTCCTGACCGTTTTAGTTATCCATGGTGGACTATTATTCGGTCTTCGCGGTACCAGGTATGGTATGAACGGGGACGTAACTAGTCTAAATTTACCTTTAAATACAGACCATGCTTCTTCAACTGATATGCTAGTATCTACTAACCAATTTGTCTATAGTAGTCATCTGGTATACAATAACTCGCCTGGAATTTTAGACGATGTCATGACATATTACAATTTTTTAGTTGCTTTCCATAATAATGTAGGTGTAGTGTGTTCTTACTAAGATGTCGATCACCTTAACCACGCATGGCTTTTTATATCCCACCAAACTATTCATTGAGGCTAGGCCCAATCTTACCAAGCCCTGAATATTCCACAGCTATAATCTTGCTCTACTAACATATGGTCACAATTATCGGATTCTGAGCCTTGTCCTGTTGTTGATTTTTGTCATTCTAATCTCGTCTTATTTGTTTCTGGAATTTTTCGGGTGAATTTTCCAACTGTCATGCTATATTTCCCTCTTAATTCGCACTAACGACTTTCAGGTTGAACACGAATTTATCATAGACCCAGCGTAACGTAGAAGACGGAGTAGCTGCCTACCACACAACGGCTGAAATCATACAACCATTAATTCACCTTAGTGATTTATCCAATGCATTCTATAACTTGTCAGGATTGTCCTAGGAAGTTAGAGGTCGAACGCTACGTTAAAGAGCATAAGATTGATCAAATGCTCCAGAATTTGACCTCTTCGTTGTTCTACCAAATGCCAGGTAAGCATATCTACTACTACACATTTTATTCGTAAAATATCCACTTTAATATATACATAATCACTCAAATCCATTATAGAAGCGGATGCATGTGTGTGTCAAATGGTTATATCGCTTCTCATATTTGAATTTGTAGCCTCCTGTCAATAGGAAGTAAGTACTGCCTCACTCTGTATAGATTCAGTGTTAAATTGGTGTTTGTATCTTACATGGACGTCAAACTTTTAGACGTAATACCGCACTAGTTTTCCGTTAGTTTATTGGTGTTCACTAAAATTTCACGATGTCATTCAGCTTTATAAATTATACTGTTATAATGCTAAATACAAAGTACATTTGCACTCTTTATTTCATTCGGTTATTGTGATTTTTATCAGCAGGTTAATCCTGAATGAGTAAATGTGATAATTAGGAGTATTTGAATTATAGTACAAATTAGGAATCCCAGAAATAACGCAAGTGAATCGAGAAGTACTCGATAAGCACGAACGAATGTATTGCCTTTAAAGTACGTCCGTTTCATTTCATTACTAATGAAGTTTGAAGTATTCCACCGTTGATATGAACCAAAATTTAGCCTGTCTTTTGACTAAAGTGAGAACAACTAATGTAGTAGAATAACATGTTTTCATTATAACTCAAGGTTTCTGATTAGCTGCTTACAATCTAAACATAGTAATAAACTTTAAAAGTCGTTTTACATACATCATACCATAATACCGAAAGTGTTCTCATCAATAAAAGTCAGTGAAAGGAACATTAAGTATGAAAGAACGATAAGACATGTTCATATGATAATGTGAATATTTATAAGTTGAATATAAGAATATTCTATAGTAAGCAACTAAGAAAGCAGAGATAGAAGTACTTGAAAATCATATATTAATGTTAAAGTGATGTAACTTTTAGAAATTACCTAGCTAGGTAATTTTTAGATAAGAAATATGAGTTAATAATTAGATTCATAAAATGAAGGATTGCGTAACAAACATTTATAAATAAGTTCATAAAGGCAAGATTGACAACTACATCTTTCTAAATGCCTAAATTTGGTTTGAGTATTATGATAGAAAATGCTTCGGTAGATCACATTAAATTTGACACTCTTTACTCATCAATCATCTTGGAAAACTCTGAAACACCAACACCATGGCCACCGTCAGGC